ATCGATGGTGGTCCAACGACGGCTGGTGGCCGGGAAAAAGTCTGGAGGTGGTCCGTCGACTACTTGTGGTTGGGCAAAGTCTAGTAGTGGTCAAACGACGGTTGGTGGCCGGGCAGAGGCTCGGTAGTGGTCTGATGATGGCTGGTAGTCGGGTAGAAGTCTGGAGACAATACGTGGCCGGTTAGAAGTTCAGCAATGGCTGGTGGTCGGACAGAAATTTGGTGATGGTCAGTGGCCAAGCGGTTGTTGAGGAGGAGCTTGGTGGCATTAGAGATCTCAGATTTCTATTTCTTCTTCCTCTTATTTCTCTTTCTTCCTCTCCCATCTTACAAAGAATGAGGGGTATATTTATAGTTTTTTTAGAGTGGCATGGCTAATAAATAGTGAGAAGATCAAGGATAGGTTGGGAGTGTTTTAGATGGACATTCAATATCGATTCTCTTGATCATTGACCGTTTATTGCACATAGGAGTGTTTTAATGATGTTAGAATTTAGCAATCTTGGGCTCGTTGGATTCATCTCGTCGAGTCACTCAATTCGACTATAAGCATGTCACATTTGGAAATCATTTGGTAATTCAATATATGCTTTGAAGCTTCCAAATGTGCATTAGACTTTCGATTTGGATCCATTTGGCTCAGATTGGATCGAATTTGGTGTCATTGGGTTTGTCTTTTCGAGATGTTCAGTTCGACTATAAGTTCATTGAAATCAGAGTTTGGATGATCCAAGGAATAATTTTGGATGTTTTTTATTTAACTTTGCTATGAGAATTGTTCTCGATCAGGAAAAATTTTTTATGATATATCAACTATATAGCACTAACCCCTTCCTCGATTATGAAGAACAATATCATTTTTATCCTAAAAAATATAATCAATTTTTTTTTCTCATTTTTCTGAAGGGTGGCATCTCTTGGTGCTATTAACTTAACTTTCTCTTATGCTTTTGTATGTGAGAATGGTGTAAAAGAAGAGAAGGAGAGAGCGAGAAAGAAAAGATATTTGTACTTTTTAATGATTGAAGATCAATCCTTTAATTAAGGGCAATATAGATTTGTTGGTGAAGGCCACATAGGACAAATTTTAGAGGATCAATAAGCTTAAATCCTTTAGCTTCTAAAGGAGGCTAGATAATAAGGCGCATCATCATAACATGAAGGAGTTCTCCCAACACCAAATTCTAAGTATGTTAAGGTTAATCAATTTGATGACACTTATGCAATACCTCTCACCGTCATGTTGAAGTACTTCCAACACAACCTTAGTTATTTAGAAGCCCAAATATCAAGTCAACATTCCAAGAAAATAGTAAAATTACTCGGGCCAGTTTAAAATCACAAATGATGTTAATTACATGGATAACCCATATGTAAAGACCACCTGTTGGACAACTTGATCAAGATATTTATGGAATTATAATTTATGGAGACTTCACTTGATGAAAATGTCTTAGCAGATGATATATATATATTGTTAGTAGTTGTCATATTGGGATAAATAGGCCTGCACAAGATGAAGGAAATGTGAAGAGTGATATGAATCAAGTTGCCAACGCATAGTTACAAGATCATATGATACAAGTAATTTAGGTTGCAATGATTGAAAGAAAATGATCTTATTTTCATATAGAAATATACTTTTGGAGGTATATGGTAGCATTGATAATAATCACGTAAGCAAATATTACACACAATCAAATAAGTTTTAAATTCAAACCTGACACTCAAGTATACTACAATTTACCTATGAGTAGGAGAAAGGAATTCATAATGCCTACAATGACTATCCTATAAGCATGAACAAGAAGATCATATCAAATAAACCAGTCTGTCTAGGGATAGTAGCGGGGAACTTCTAGTGCATGTTACCATTCACTTGTGAGCAGGAGCAACGGATTGATAGTGCACATAAATAGCATGTATGTAGCACTAAGAAATTCATAACAAATGATGTAACACACTCACAAGTTAGAACACTATCTCCTAGCATCTATTGAGTAAACATCCTCTAGGAATTGTATTAAATGATAGTTTGAAGGAGACAAAATTAAATAATATCTCTCATATATATACCTAAAATCTAATGCCCTCAAATGCCACAAGATCTATAATACTCGCATAAGTGAACAGAAGGCTATACTCGTATAATAACATCAAATTATATACTCAAACATACTTGCATGTACTCCAATCAACGTGTTAAAGTTACAAACACAAATGTTTGAGAATGATGCGTAGGGTCAAATGCTCACTAATATAATAGTCTATTTGCAAACTAAACATGACCCACATGTGCTCTGATCATCACATTGAGAATGTTACACGAGTCAAATACTCAAGTCTCATTGTCCTCATCAAAAGGAATGTAATTGACAAGACTTGAATAGTAAAATAATTCCCAAACCTACAATAATATAGTGACTTTAATGTCTCCATGATGATGGCCGTGTTGACATAAAATCTCAACTAGATGGGTCAAACCTCAAAACCAATAAAAGTTAAGAATTCTTAAAATGAAATTTATTAACTAAAAACTTAAAATTAAAAATGCATACATCTCCTGCAACCGCTTGTCGGGGATAATATATTTGAAATTAACCTCAGCTCATAAAGAGCGAATGTCATGTTATGTGTATTATTAAGATTCATTCTCAAACAATCTCTTGCCAGCAAGGACGTGTCATGTGCCCTCTGATTGGATGATTTTGTTGCAAAATGGCTCTATTATATTACGATCATGGCTGAAGCACATTTGCTCTCTAATGGCATCAAACCCTTGAGTAATGAATCATAGTGTATATTTGACAGATATATATATATATATATATATATATATATATATAAATATAAAGCCCTATATCAACTAAGGTGGATTCATATCTATCCCCTTTAAAAAACACCATCTTAGGTCTATAAGGTATTCTTCAATGAAGCAACCCATGGCTACCGATAAGGTGCCTTCTGTTTGGTTGGGTCAACTACCTATTCTGACTAAGTAGACCATGGATCATGACGGCCGAGGACGACAGAACTATGGGATCTTGATCGGGCCCGTCTTTATTCCCCCATCACTAGTTTTATGTTTGTGGTGATAAATTGTAAGTATTAAACTCCAAAATCCATATCCCAAATCCAAATCTTAAAAATGTTTCTATTATGCATTGGATTTATGACATATATGGGTCCTCTTTAATGACTAGCCTTAATCGAAAGTTCTCTCTCATTATCAGGAGGGGTAATTAATTATAGGGGCTTGCACCTATAGAAAACTTAAACTCATATCAAAAAGTCCTCACAAAACGAGGGCAAAATTTTTGGGTAATGTTTAATTCAAAATTCAATCTGTCTTCTTAAACTTCACCTGGAACCTAAGATCGTTAAAACTATCCACCATCACAATAAGAAAAATAGACGGTTCGGAGAGGCCGTTGCGTGAGAATTTTCGGAGCCCACAACAGGTCTATACCTCTAAGGATTTTTAAACAACATTCATATACACTTGATCAATCAACAAAAATAATAAAAAAAATACTGAGAAGATGAGTACAAAAAAGCTTGAAAAAAATAGGTCAAATAGAAAAATTAAGGCATTGAACAAAATTATCAATATAGGCTTTGTTTGGGGGGTTCGCTTAGTTGATATTCCATTGTTTCTATGCCATGGATGATTGTTCATAGTTGAAACTAAATTTTGAGACAATTAATTCCTTTGGAGGAAAAGATCAGAGTTCCGTCATAAGAATTGAGAACCTCTAACATTAGAACTAATTTGTTCAAACAAAGATAATTGATACAATTTTAGAGAAGATTAGGGCTCTACCAAATTGATTAAGAATCTCTCTCACCATAGAACTAATATGTCAAAATAGAGAAAATTAACTCAATTTCAAAAGAAAAAAGACCAAAGTTCTATAGGAATTGAGAACCTCCCTCGCTTTAAAACTAATATGCACAAACAAAGATAGCTAACCATTTAGGTCTATTTTTAATGTTATGGACTTAATTTTGATACTTTTAGAGTCTATCATAGCCTCTACATTAAATCTTGAGCAAATTTGACCTATTTAGAACCAAATTGTCTAAAAATTTTTGCTCTATTTGACACATCACTTTAAAGAAAGAATGAAATTATAATTTAGAAGAGTTTACTTAATTCAAGGGCATAATGCATAATGGGCAATCCCAGAGCCAGAAATTTTATTCTAGGGGGGCTAAATTAAAATAATTCTATTTGTTTTGGAATGTTAGAATAAACATCTGCCACATGCAATCTTAGCTTGGGGTGAGAGAGGAGCAAAAAGGAAAATGAAAGCCGTGCTCGAGATCGTGAGTTGCGAGAGAGGAGCACAGGGGAAAACGAACCATTTATGCTTTTCATTTGTCCAGAAAAAGATTTTGATGGCTTCTATGGACTATTAAAAAAACTTTAAAAAGAAGAATTACAAAATTAGAGTAGGTTTCCGCTAACTTTAAAAAAAAAGAACTATATTACTCAAATAAATCTAATTGGAGAATTTGAAATTCAAATAGATCTATAGATTTCTTGACCTTCCACAGAAGGTGATGGAAGACTTGAAATGGAAAAAGTTTGTAATAAATAAAATGAAAGTTGACAACGGGTTGTACCATAAATAGTTAAGCTTACTGGAAAGTGATTTATTTATTTATTTATTTTTTTTTGAGCGGGGGCGGGGGGCATGTGCTATGAGTTTAAACAGAGATGCTTAGGGTTTAAATAAAAATAAAACAAGATTGAAATAACTTTTATCACAGTGAAATTCAAATAAGCATTGCTAGACAAAAATAGGTATATTTTGATAAAAAAAACTTTTTAATGTTTTATAACAAAGAATAAATAATAAAAATATTTATACATTTTAAATAAAATGAAACAAAAAATAAAATTTCTCATCTAATACTAACTATTTTGTAATATTCTGCGACAGAGATTCCTAACAACTTTCTTCCAAACCACCATAGTTAGACGATAGATCAACATCCGGTGGGGACGCCGTTAGAAAGCAATACAAAAGGCGGCCGAAATCCTAACCACCTTCACCTTCTTCCCACCAATGAAAGACTGATGAAAGGATCGCTTTCCTTCCCCGCATTAAATAACAGAGACAGTGATCTCGCTGCAGCGGTAGTGATCATCGGAGATGAAGTACTTGGTGGAGGTGGAGAAGTGCCGGGAGGGTACCACCGGCTCGCCATCAGTCGGTCCCGCCTACCGGAGCGTATTCGCCAAGGACGGATTTCCGCCGCCGGTTCCTGGCGTCGATAGCTGCTGGGATGTCTTCCGGTTAGCCCTGTTTCTGATCCCTAGCTCCTCCCACTTTCCCTTCATTCTTCGGATTCCAAGCTATATCGGAAATCATTTGGGAGTTATTCGATTATTTTGACTGGTATGGTATGCCTTTATGGATGTGATGGTTCTTTTTATCCAGCTTGTCGGTGGAAAGAAATCCTGGCAATCGGATGCTTGGGCGTCGCGAGATTGTTGATGGGAAGGTGCGTAACTCAATGATGATGGATGTTCACTGCATTTCTGTAATATATATTCTGGATAATCAGACATTGTGAATTGTTACAGGCGGGGAAATATGTGTGGCTAACTTACAAAGAAGTGTACGACATGGTGATGAAAGTTGGAACTTCTATTCGAAGCTGCGGAGTTGAGAAGGTTAGCGCTCTGTTTTGGAATGGTTTGATTTTGTGTGATTGGAGAATAACTATAAAGTAGTTTAGAATATATCCCCCCTTGTTTTACTGTTGGTGGAAGCTTGTTGTGTATCGCCGGAAGAAAAGGAGGAAGGAGGCAGAGGTGGCGGCTGTTCGTGGCTTTGGGTGGAAAGTGAGCACTTATTAACCAGCTTCTCATGACCCACCCAGGGCTATATTTTTATGGCCTAGGTTCTTTAAAAAAACATAGCCTTTATTCTATACATTTTAATTAAGGTAAGGTGGTCAAAAGGTCGAGTGCAAATTTTAAATCCATATAGGAAACAAGAGAAGTCCTTCATTCTGAATCTACCAGATATCAAACACGAAATTAATACATTGAAAACCAGAGTATATCACTGAAATCAAGACCATTTGATGAAATTTTGAAATATATTTTAAGTGTTGAGGTGTAAATTTGAGGTAGGCAGAATTTTTTTTTATATAGATATTTGAACCATCAAGACAAACTCGTATATTTTGACAACATTTTTCAAGATGAGCTATATATTAAATTGGGTTCTCTCTCATTCTCAAAGTGATTTGCATGATAAAATTTTGATTTTTCTGTAGATGATTGTCATAAGGTTTTGTATTCAGGTTCAAATAGTAAAATAGACTATTGAATATTTAGAGAGTAATGGAAGCGACTCTCTAGGGACTGTGCAAAAAGGAATGGAGTAATGATCACATTTATTGAGGGACTTGCACCTTTGGCAAGGCAGGGTGAGGCTAGGTGTCACTTGATGGTTTTATAGCTTTATTATTTCTTCATTTTTTTAAGGCACCTTCGCCCAAGGCACAGACGCCTTAGGGCATCTCCAACCGAAAAACTCATTTTCCACTCCAAAATGCAGTAATACACTAAAATGCAGTAACTTGTCTCCAACCGAACTCCATTTTCTAACACCAAAAAAAGAATATTCCTAAATTATTTCCCATATTTCATTTTATATAATTTTCAAATTTAAAAAAAAACAAATGGCGGGTGAACAGTGCGACGCCAAATATGGCGTCGCACTGTTCATTGGCGAGTGGATGCCGTGACATTTCGCGCTCGGTTGGAACGAATTCTCCACGGCAAACGATCGTTTGCGTATCCGTTGGAGATGCCCTTAGGAAAGCGAGTAATTTTTCTACGAGCACAGCTCAAGAAAGATTCTTAAGCTAAATGATAGCTACGATTAATATTTATTTAGTATTATTCATTTTTGATAGTATTTTTTTTTAATTATAATGTCTATAGTAATCAATTGACAATGTCAATACATTATTTACTCACTGAAAGTAACATTCCAAATTATATATATATATATTATTTGACGCTATGTGCCACTAAAATAAAGTTCTTATTATGTCATGCTTATACTGTATTGAGTGCATTCTTCTTATTTATTTCAGGTTAATTTCCCTTTTTTAGGGGCTGTTTGTTTATTAGTAAGATTTGATAAATCCTATACATTTGGATTTAGTAAATCCTAAGGCAGAAAACAATTTGGCATGACAGGCTAATTTCAGTTAAATCACAATGAACTATTTTGCCACTTATTTCAGGATTTATGTTTGTTAATTCAAATAGAATTGTAATAATAATTAATAATAATAAAATTAAAATATATAATCTCATTGCCAACAATTATAATTTCCATTTTTAGTTGATATTTGTGATTAATACTTCACTAATCAAGAGTAGCTATGTTAGTTCTTTATGATCACGGCATTAATATTCTGAGGGCTTTTATGAAAAAATTGAGAATTTTTGGACAAATTATAAAATAATGGGAAAAATGAAACTATTAACACAATTCATATTTTGCATCAATCAATCAATTTTTTTGGCTATGTGTAGAAGGTTAGGGTTAGGATCAAGGCCTGGAAACACTTGGTGTTGGTAAAGAATTGTCTTAAAATTTATTCTAAGGTTTCACACAATTTCAAATGTATTATACAACCCATGGCTGATTGACAGGAGGGCTGATATAACAGTTCTATAGTAAGAAACAATAAAGCTTTAAGCAAAATATATATGTTTATCACTCATCAAAGTGACTAGGTTTGAAAGAATCATCAAATTCCTCCAATGCAGGGACGACCACCTAGCCTTCTCTGTGGAATAAACTATAAAATTTCAGTTAAAACACAGTAATTATTTCTTCTTTCATTCCATGAAGTATTTACGATTTGTTTTACAAAAGATTTTAAAAAACAAAAGAAAGTACAGAAAAGAGTGGCTGGCCAAATTAATAGCAGGAAGAGAGGAGGTAGTTACACATTATAAGCACTACTTCAAACATGTAAAGGATTAAATATATTTGCAAATCTTCTCAAGAGTGTTAGTAAAGGTATACAATTTTTTAGGATGTTGTCGCATAATTAGAGTTATGGATTAGATAAGTATGGTTCTACCTAGATTAGAATTAGTCGAAATCATAGGGCTTGTTTTATGGAAGTTTAAATTTTTGGCATTGTGATTGTATGGTACATCTGGGATAGGAAACACTAGAATATTTAAACTAACTAAATGTAATTTAGAGTATTTCATAATTTTTTTAGGGTTTTCAAGGTGTTTTGATGGGGTTGGAATAAAACTAGGTCTTGTGGACCTTTTTTTTTTTTGGCTAACAACCTTAAGTTAGGTTTTTGGCTATGTGGAGGGGGTTAGGGTTTGGATCAAGGCATGAAAATGCTTGGGGTTGATAAAAAATTGTCTTAAGATTAATTCTAAAGCTTGACTCAATTTTCAATGTATTTGGGGTGTCCAAATAGCCAATTGAATAGGATTATCTTATTTATACAACCCATTGCCAACAAACCTCATTGCAATTTTGGTTGGATTTTTATGGGAGAAATAATGATAAGAAGAGGAAGGCTAATATAAGAATCCTATATCAAGAATTAATAAAGCTTTAAGCAAAACATATATGCTTAGCACTCGTCAAAGTGGCTAGGTTTGAAAGAATTACCAAATTCCTCCAACGTAAGGCTGACCACCAAGCCTTCTCCTTCTTGGAATAAACTCCAAAATTTCAGTCAAAACAAATAATCCTGTCTTCTTTCATTCCATTAAGTATTTATAGTTTGTCTTACAAGAGATTTTAAAAAACAAAAGAGAGAAAAGAAAAGAGAGTGACTAGCCAAATAAATAGTGGAGAAGAGAAGAGGTAGTTACACTTTATAAGCACTCCTTCAAACATGTGTTGGTCGGCAATCCTTATTTGAAATTGGTTATTTGCTTTAATTTAAATCAAGTAATTTTACACAATACTCCCTTATTTCAAAATTTGAGTTAGAAAATTTAAAAATCAAAAATTTCAAATGTCTACAAATTGCAAAATTAAATTTCATCGTTTCATACAATTTCTCTTATTTTTTAGGCTTAAGCTTACAAATGATCGAATGACTACTGTTTGCATAGTTAAATACATAAATGAGAAGATATTTACCTCTTAAATTAAACTTTTTGAATTCTAAAATAATATGTTTGTGCTATTTTTTTGTATGAAGGCTATGAGAGATGTTAGAGCAACTATCCTTACTGCATTTTTTTCAAAAGGGTTTTCAGATAAAACCATTATAGAATTTTATTGAATTTTTTATGTGTAATAATTACTTTACAATATGTGCTTTTAGGGAAATTGTTGTGGTATCTATGGTGCAAACTGTCCTGAATGGATCATTAGCATGGAGGTATTGGCTATTTGAATATCGGTTATTCTAATCTCCTTGCAAAATATTTTATCATAACCTATAATTTCATATCATGTTTGCTAGATCTTCATAATATGTTTTATTTTATGAATGCATCTAAATTTTCTGCAGGCTTGCAATGCTCATGGGATCTATTGCGTTCCATTATATGATACCCTTGGTATGTAAAGCACTTATCTTCTTGGTATTGTTACAAACATAAGTTAGATTTGTATAAGGCCTAACAAGTCCTATTTGCTAGTATGTGTGCGTGGATGCCGCTCATTCATGCACTAAGTGGTTGTTTATTGGAGAACTCTTATACTTCATGCAAATTATTGGTTACTGTATGTTTTTTTTATTTTTTTTTTATTTCTCATGATATATTTTTGCTTAGGAGCTGGTGCTGTTGAATTTATAATTAGCCATGCAGAGGTGCAAATTGTTTTTGTGGATGAGAAGAAGATTGTAGAGGTAATGAGCTCAATCTAACTTGCAATAGCCCTAACACTCATCATAACATTCTTCTTCATTTCTATAAAATCTAATGTATCTTGGTGGTGTATTTGTCATATTGACAGACATAATTCAATTGAGTAGGATAGCATGTGCTAATGTTGTGCTAATATTGTGTTGTTCTTTAAAAAATACAGTCAACACTACTCCCAAAGGGATGGATGAGAGTATTGTTCTGCAAGTGCGTTGTTAATGGTCCTAGAACAATTAAGGAGATTCAACTACAGTTTACCGTTTACCTACAAACACTCTCCACACAAATCAAAACTAATACGCTAGATTTTTTAAAAGCCAAGCAATTGAAAAGCATTCCCAAACAAAAGTCTATGCTAGCCAACCAACAATATTAAATCTGAATTTATTATCATAAAGTTCATCTTCATAAATTTGGATCTAATTATATTCATTTGTCCAAATTGTTTATCAAACTCTAATGAAATTGTCAAGTGATGATGCCACATTTTTTGCCTTTTCTAACATGCTGAAATTTGAATGTATCTTTGCCCCGTCAAGTACCTATGGCTATAGGTTGCCACAGTAGAGAAAAAGTTCAGGGGGATTTACATGCATACCATTTTATATCATTCTATTTACATATCTAATACTAAAATTTTAATATTTCATGCCTACAACGCATAAACAATTTTAATATCAAATATATCACTCATATATTTCAATCTTACCACCCATATTACCCTATAAATTTTAATGTTTTCTTTCTTGCACCCATATTTGATCTATGGGTTGTCTGTATGAAATATTAAAATTTTGAGTGTTAGATATTTAAATAATATGATAGAAAGTGATATGTATGTAAATCCCCCAAAAATTAATTATGAAGGCGCTCTAACTAGCTTAGTAGGATTTAGCCTGATGGTAAATGTGCAGGTGATGCTAAGTTGATGTAAACAATTGATACTCGTATATTATGGAGATGACATGTGGAAATTTTGTAGGTATATATTGAATCATTTGCCACAGAGAGTTGTAGAGAATGCATGCAATAATAAGTTACATTATAAAGTTTCTTCAAATGAAAAAATCGTGAAATGCTCCTAAGCTTTCATTTCATTTTTTTTTTCAATTTCCAGCTGTTGAAAGCCTTTCCTGATGCAGCCAAGTTCTTGAGAAGTAAGTTTATTAATACCAATACTTTACAACTTATTTATTTTATTTATTCTTATATGGGCTAGCTCATATGCGAAATTTGCATGCAGTTATTGTGAGTTTCGGAAAGATTTTCCCAGAGCAGAAAGAAGAGTTCAGACAATTTGGTTTAAGAGCCTACTCCTGGGACGAGTTCTTGTTTTTAGTAAGTAAACTTATGCAGATACTAAGGTTTCTTTTATGAATCCCTTGTGAAGATGCTCCCTTGTTTTAAAATAATTTCCTGGCTTGGTTTAAAAAAAAAAATGATTTACTGCTGGTTTAACCTGCATTAATTCATCATCAATCAAGATGTACATCAGAAATTATCGGAACAGTTAGCTTCCACTGCAATTTCAGAAGAGGACCATCATTAATCTTCATCATGAAGGAAATGGCAAATAGAAACAAATGATAGTAATTTTTTCACCTGCATATCAAGCAATGAGGCGCTCTCTGAAATTATTATTTGCATTAATGGCATGCCAATTGAAGGGTTGCAGACCTGCAGTAGGCCTATGTCTTGAAATACTGAATATGTAATTAAAAATAATAATAACAACAACAACAACAACACTAATAATAATAATGAAACCAAGGGGTGTATTGCTTACATCATTCTTGGGCAGGAAATCTGACATCTTGAGCCAAAAGCTCCTAATCTGGAAATTTTGAATTTTCCTATAGAACAAATGATAAATTTGAATTGCTTAATGATGTATTTCTTTTGGCTCTTTATTGTACCAAACTCTTGGAGATTGAATTTAGTATGATTATAGAAGTATTCTTTGCAATGATCATAACACATTTGATTCTACTTTGGTTACCATGTTTTCACAATTCATACGTAAACAACCTCATATGGTTTCCTTAAAGAAATAGTTAAATGCTTTGGAATATTTTATTAAATACTATTTTAGATATTCATAATTTGTACAGTACAAAACTTTAGTACAATTCACGAACTTCCCAAATTCCATCTTCCGGTGATAATCGTGATCCAAGTATTTGATAAATTCATTGCGTTGCTATCAAAGTCTTGGATAATTGGCAATATCATGTTAACACTCATGGAAAATCTATCTCAATGGGTAATGATGCTCAAATGGTAGTCTGACCTAGTCATCTTGATCTAAATATTGATGGATATTTTTATGGTAGATGTTCATGAAATTACTACCATGTTTTAATTTTTTATTTTTGTTTATATGTATAGTACTTCACAGTTGACTAAATGCGGAATAAAGAACTAGTTAATGTGCTTCATCTTTTTTTAAATAAATACTTCAATAACACATCAACTGTGGTTTTTTTGGTTAGCCTCCGACCATATGTTAAAATTTTAAAGAAGCATTGAACATTTTTTTTATTAGGAAAAGATTGTGCTCAACTTTGTTCTATAGAAGTATTAATTTACGAGAAAACTTAATGATAAAAAAGTAATTGCAAAGGAGATCAATCACTATAAAAGAGAATACCAAAATTTATATGATTCTATACAAGTAAGCCTATATCTTCAAGATAGAAGAGGAGATCCAATCTACTAATAAAAAAATCATAATCATGGCATATAAAGGACACTCACTAAGCCTTTCCAAAACTTAAGTACCCTCTCACTCGAGAAATAAAATAGAAGCCTTGGTTATCTCAAGAGAAGTATGAGAAAAATAATTTAGGAGTGACAAGGAAAAATATGATAAAATTAAAAAATATGTAATTTTCTTCTCTTTATCTTTATCTTCCCTATTCTCTATCTTCTCAATTCCTTTATAACTCTATAGGCAAAATTTTAAATTTATGCTTCCTTATTAAATAAGCTTCCATGCATCAATATACATAGCACCAGCCCAAGGCAAAGTTATCTAACTTATGCAAAATCACTATATTCATTTTCATGCTTTCACACAATACACGTGATGCCTACTCACCATATGATTCATGTATGAATATTTTGTCAATAACTAAGACCTTTGGCTTGTTGGAAAATAATTGAGTTGTTGTTTCCATAGAAGTATGACTCTGTTTTAATTATGGTTCTTTAGGTTATAATGATGGAAATTTTTTATTTGTAAGCATCCTATTAATAAACTCCATTGCAATAGTATGAAAACATCCTAGCTGTGAAAATTAAATGACTTATAGACATAATGTTAAGTTGTTAGGTTTACTCCTTTTTGGTTTAGTTTCGTGGGTTCTAATCATGGAAATAACCTTATGCAATGTCCTAGCGAGGTTGCTTGCATCAATCTCTTCACACAACCCACACCAGACTGAGCAACCTGCATTGTATATGCTCTTTTCTATTGCAAATCATTTGTTGTCCCTAAAAGTAGATCTTTTTATTGTTGAACATTGAAATTTTCTTTTAAGGTTTTCATAGACCCAATTGTAAATTAACCAACTAAAATGCAGTTGTAAATTAGTCAAGAGTATACACAAATGCCACATAATTCTTATATATTTACATATCTCACATCTAAACTTAAGCATTTACTTATATAACACCTTGGTATCACAATTACATCAAAACATATACACAAAAAAATGTATTTTACTTCAGAAAAAATTATATTAGTAGTCTTATGTGATTCAAATATTTGTGTGTTACATTAGTAAATATTAAAATTTGTGTTAGACTTATAAATATATAAGAATTGTAAATGTAAATCCCCCATTATGTAATACCAAATAGTTTATGAGTTCACATTACTTTGGGTAACCGGACAAAGATTTATGTGTAATACCAATTCAGGTGCATGTTCTCTTTTCATGAAAGAAGTTATACTAGATTTGGATAATGCAATATCAGATGAAGTACCCATTTACATATAAAATGGCATCCCTCTATTACTGATATCTTTGTTACTTTTCAGCAGCTTACTGGGAATCAATGTTTGTTCAATCTTGTGTTTATTCTCTTAAATGGTTTTATTGCTACACTCTATTGGCAGGGCAATAGCCAAAAAGTTGATCTCCCTTTGATCAATAAAACTGACATCTGTACAATAATGTACACCAGTGGGACAACCGGAGATCCTAAGGGTGTACTAATTTCCAATGAAAGTATTCTTACTCTTATGGCTGGTGTTAATCGACTGCTTGAATCTATGAATGAGCAGGTGAGCAATATTAACTTTATTCATAATGAAATTACCACAAATCCAATCTATCTTCTTTCATTTTTTGTTGTCATCAAAAGCAGTGCATTGAGTTCGGTTTTTTAAGGAATTAAGATACATTGAAGTCATTTTCTAACATGTCTATTATTGGAATTATTGCAGTTTCATGATGATGATGTTTATTTATCATACCTCCCACTCGCCCATATATTTGATCGGGTGATAGAGGAGATGTTTATTTTCCAAGGAGCCTCGATTGGATTTTGGCAGGGGGTAAGATATTTTAAAATTTTTTTTTCTTTTTTGTTTTTTGCAAGGTTCACCCTCATTAATTGCAAGTAACATTAACAGGACGTCAAATTGTTAGTTGAAGATATTGGGGCGCTAAAACCATCTATTTTTTGTGCTGTTCCTCGTGTACTAGATCGTATTTATACAGGTGAAGTTCTCAAGGACACACGTGCCCTTCTCTTTCCTTTTGCAACCTCTCTTAATCACACAGATATTCACATTTCACGCCTCAATGCCTTGTTTCATTTTGCAATTTTACTTTAATATTTGGTAATTAAATTCTTCTAACTATAGCCATCTAGATTCCTTGCTATATTTAATCTTAAAGCAGTTGTTGACCGTCATATGTTTCTAAAATTTATTTCTTGTGTTCAGGCTAACTATAATAACATTTTTTCCGTACATTTGTATTTTATTTGGTTTATAGGTTTGCAGGATAAAATAGCTAAAGGAGGTCTTATAAAGCATACATTATTTAATGTTGCCTATAAATAGTAAGTTTATGCTCAGTTCTTAAATCTAAATCGATACTTTATACCAGTTTGCCTAGCAGTTCATAAAGTAGATGTCCTCTTTACTCTTGTCATGATAATCATGTCTTGTATGGATTTTGCAGCAAGCTACGCAATATGATAAATGGAAGTAAACATGACGAAGCAGCTCCATTTCTTGATAGAATAATATTTAGTAAGGTAATTAGATGTCTTTTATTCCATTAACCACGATTTTCTCGCCTTGGTTTTAGGCATCACAGTTGACTAATGAAATTGAAATCCTTTTACATGCTATAGGTTAAGCAAGGACTAGGTGGCAATGTACGACTTATATTATCTGGGGCTGCTCCTCTGGCTACTCATGTGGAAGAATTTTTACGGGTTGTGACATGTGCTCATGTTCAACAGGGCTATGGTATATATAAGCTATAACCTAGCTGCTTTCTATAACTTGAAATTTTTGGGCATTATAGTTATTGCTTTTAATCTTGACTTCGCTTTGGTCAATTTTTGGGAAGAATTAATTCTTATTATCACATCATTTAAATTATTACATGTGCTAACTTATTTATAATAGGATGTTTACATTAATTCTTATTATAAAATTTTGTTTCAAAAGGTTGTTGTCGGAGTTCAAAAAATGGTGAATTATTGTTTGTTTAAATGACTAGTTTCACGTTTTAGTACAACAGGGCTTGGGCATTATAGTTTTTGTTTATTGTTTGTTTAATTGCTTATTTATAGTAGGAATTACGTTTTTTGCTTATCTAATACTTCTTAAGATTGATGTGTGGTAAAGCTAGGAAAAATATATTGTGAAATCTGTATGAGTAGCAGAGCATGCCTTAGGATTTAGGTTTCAGTAGTACAAAGCCAAGATGAAATGCACAAAGAAAATTCCCAAATATCAAATATTACAATTGGTAGTTCGGTAGTTCCCCAACTTTTAATTTAGGCCTTATTTAATGCAAAATAAAAAACACGTACAATTCATTTCAAACAGCAATTTAAAAGTCGTCAAAATATTGAACTTCTTATAAAATATGTAAATGAAAAACATGCCACAATGTAGGATTCATGTTGCAAAAAGGTAACTCTAATGCAATAAATTTGAACAAATCTCAATAATGCGCGCAAAATCAATCACAAGTACATAGGATGAAAAGGGAAAAAGGATAGCAGTCTTAATTAGAAGATCCAAATCTCACACTATTAGAAGGGGAAGCTTCCTCTGCAATTCACCATCAAGTGCACTAAAAAATTTTGCATCCCTATAAATAAATGTATGCTCATGATTCTGTGCTTATTGGAAGGGTTAGCACTTCCACAATTAAATTAATAAAAAAAAGAGGTTCACTGGTGACATATATGATATTGCATGTTGAGTATTACATTTTTTTCATCCTGCACATGAGAGAGAGAGAGAGATGGAAGTTGTCTAACAGTGGCAAATGTTTGCAAATATTTATATAAACTAGTAATTAACCAATGCTTCCCTAAACAAATTGAAATGGGAATGAAGGATTCAAATAGCAAATCAGTAAGGATATTTCTGTTTATGATGACAACGAGATCAATAACCGTAACATGGTTAGATATTATTCATCATCTGATGAAAGAATATCAATGATTTTATATGCTTAAATATTTATTGCCCAAAATATTTATCATGTTAATAAAACTAATGAGATTTTTTTAGGTCTCACCGAGACCTGTGCAGGAACCTTTGTCTCACTACCAAATTGTCCATCAATGCTTGGAACAGTCGGTCCCCCTGTTCCAAATATAGATGTGCGGCTGGAATCTGTTCCTGAGATGGGCTATGATGCACTAGCAGACCAACCTCGTGGTGAAATTTGTATCAGGGGGAAAACATTGTTCTCAGGGTACCATAAGAGAGAAGACCTCACAAATGAGGTTTTGGTTGATGGCTGGTTCCACACAGGTTTGTTATCCTTGGCATGTCAACTTGTATTGCAGGTTTTAAGGTTGAGTTAAGAATTTGCTATACAGGAAATGAAGATTCATTAGGAAACTTGGAATGTTTAGTATACTGGAATAACATTTATATAATTTCTCCTTATTTAAGTACTTTTTTTAGTGGCAATATTTATGATGAAATCAAATCAATTTCTTATGGTAACCTTGCCGTTTTTTGCCTCATAGGAAAAAAAAATCTAGCCTATGTTTCCCTGCCTCATACACCATTATGCTAATGTCCTTCGGGTTTTCATACTACTTCCTTCATTGGTTCTCATTGTTTTGTTGAAGTAAATAAATTGACATGTGTATATTTTTGAAATGTACAATAAGAGAGCTTAATTTAGCAGGCCCTTTGAAGTGCTTGATGTTTCCATGGAGCATCTAAAAAAAATTTAACATAGCCAATACAATTTGATGAGAAGATGCTTGGCAAATGATTAGCTTGTAAACTTTAATTGTGGAGCAAGGTCACAGAACTCTTTTATATCAAAAAATAATGGAAATGTTTACTTCTAATTATTTCACATGTTTCTTTTCATTCAAATGAAGAGAGTTCGACTACATTAATATCTATGGATTATTCAAAGTTTCCAGCTTGTTTCTCATTCTCTTTGCAGGAGATATTGGCGAATGGCAATCAGATGGAAGTTTGAAGATCATAGATCGAAAAAAGAATATTTTTAAGCTTTCCCAAGGAGAATATGTTGCAGTGGAAAACTTGGAGAACATTTATGGTTCCATAGCTGCTATAGACTCTGTAAGTGTATCCCCTTGATATTATTTTGAAAAAGGATAGGTTTTTTATCTTTAAATTCCTTGCCAAAAATGTTTTATTGTTTTACCAGAATTGGTTGTTTAAATGAATTCTTTTTTGTTTCTTGTCTTCTGTATCTGTTATTAATAGCATTGGGGTAAATTAAACTTTCATCAAGGCCAAGCTGAGAGTTAGTGTGGCCTTTAATATTTTTTTCGTGGCTATTGGAGTGAATTCTCTCTATTGTTGCTCGTCTTATCCAAAAGATTGCAATGGGGCAAATTAATGTTTTCCTTGAAACCAAGCTTTCACAGGCCTTCAGTAATTTATATAGCTTCTTTTCCTAGTGTCATATAAAATGTTATGCATATCGCGAGGCTCCTAGTGCTCAAGTTTAGTTTTGTATATCTTCGCATAGCTGATTTACTTCATTATGTTTAATCTTCTCTTAGAGATCGGACATTTGTTGTTCATGGTAGTCACTGACATCTCTATTCCCAATCGTTCTCTTTTTTTTTTTTTAATTCCCAATCGTTATCTCAATACACCAAGATAATGGCTTTTTAACCCAGTTAAGAGTTGGCAATATTTTGATATAACAATTAATTTCATAGGCTATACTTTGAGCTGTTCCTGACTTGAACAAAGAGTAGTGACCTGAAACTTTTATCGAGTCAAATAAATTAATACTGATAGGGTGAATGTTATAAAAGTCATGGGCGTATTGAAAATTTTAGGACTATCATGGCTGGTAAGTTTATTAATAAAATGAACTTTTAAAATTGTCTTTCATCAGCTATTTTTAGATCTATTGCATTTTAATGAAAACATCAGATGAATTTTTGACAATAACTGCTGAGATCATCGAAGTCCTTGGAATCATTTTACTGGCAACTTTATCAGAGTTTTTGTTTTAAGATTTTACAAACTGTTTCTAGGTAGTTAAGTATGGCAGGCTGTCCAGAATTTAGTAAGAATTCAACCCAATGTTAGAAAAGTTAAAAAGCAAATGGCGCTCAACATCTAAATATTAAATATGAATTTTGACATGGTTTTGCTGTGAAAAAAAAGGCCTATGATATTGTTCACAGATTTATGAAAAACTTCCCCTGATCAAAATAGTGAGACCTATCTGTATCACAAACTTCGTGCAGCTCACGAATTGGTTGTGGAATAACTTTACCATCTGCTTGTTTCCTGCATAAATCTGATTTTGTTTATCGACGAATGTGTTTTGCAGATATGGATCTATGGCAGTAGCTTTGAGTCTTTCCTAGTAGCAGTTATCAATCCTAACATCCAAGCTATTGAGCGTTGGGGCGAAGAGAATGGCGTTAGTGGGGAATTTTCTAGCCTTTGTGAGAATCCTAAAGCAAAAGAATACATTCTTGCAGAACTAAATAAGACTGCTAAAGCGAAGAAGGTACATATTTCACATATGAGCTCTTTTATTGCTTATTTGCATAAACATTGGCATCATAAAGATATTCTTCTCCAATTACTTCCCTTCTAAGTCAATGGAAGTGATTCTAATTGTTCTATTAACATTCCAGCTAAAGGGCTTTGAATTCATAAAAGCTATTCACTTGGATCCTGTGCCATTTGATATGGAACGTGATCTTCTTACACCAACATTTAAAAAGAAGAGACCCCAATTGTTCAACTATTATCAGGTCAGCAATCATTTTCCCATTTACATTATGTGAAATCCCTTCTATAGAAATGCAATTTATGTTAGAAGTTATTCATCAACCAGAAGCTTATAGGTAACGTCAAGCCGCTAAGGTTGCTTTCTAAAACATCAACAACAACATTAAGCCTTTGTTCCACTACGTGGGGTCGGTTACATGAATCCTTTTTCACCATTGTGTCCTGTTAAAAGTAAAATTCTCATTTAAATCTAATAGAAAAAGATCATTTCTAATATTTTCTAACCAAATCTTTTTAGGTCTATCTCTACCTTTCTTAACATAAGTCAAATCTAATACCTCAACTTTCCTAACCGGGTTATCGGAAGGCCTCCGTTTAATGTGACCAAACTATGTAAGGCTTGACGTTACCTATAAGGTATTCCATATATAATTGGAGGGCAATAATTCCAAGATAAAATGTCATTTTAGTCCTATGTAAACCTTCACAGAAATCTTTTTTCCTACACTACCGAGAAAATAAAGAATCTTAAGTGATCACCTTCATTGTTACTGTTGGATTTGTATTTGCCCATAGATGATATCCAACTTTACTAGCAAACAATGTTCTAGATAAGAGTTGAAGAACTAAGAGAAATCTGGGTGAATATTGAGAGAGTGAGAGAGAGAGATGAAATCCCAAAGCATGCCAAAAGATCGAAAAATATCCAAAAGATCCAAAATATGCCTCTTCATCCTTTATTTGTAAGGTTTAGAGGGGTTATAACGAAGGCTACTCCTAAAAAAATAAAAAGTACAATATTCATTATGGGCCATTATAAACTAAATTAGACACCTGGCTAAACTGGTAGAAGCGCATGTTGTCCTCTGCCTCTGACATGACCCTTTTTTTTAGGATGAATCCCTTGGGTGAGTCTTCACAAGCAGGTATACTGGTTGATCCTCAAGGTATAGTAGTAGGACGAGTCTATGTGTGCGAGTCCTTTGGATGTGGTAACAAGTCCCTAAAGGTAGTATATGGACCTTTGAGGGTGAAGAGAAAGCCCCTTTGGGCGATGATGACTGCTAATAGAGGACTGACTGAGTCTGGAGGGGTTGTAATCACAAACCTTTCAGGTGTGCACTTCCTGCACCTGGATCAAAGGATGCCAGCGATAGCCTGATGACCTAGATCACGACAAATGACCTCAAAAGATAAATATATAGCAAGATAAGTGATTCCTGAGGGCTAAGACAAATTTATACGAGTTCCCTAATATACATGCCTGGGACGATTCCTCAATTCGATCAGCTAAGACGAGTCATACGCCCTACTAGGAGTACTTTTGGTGGGCAATGTGAGTACTCTAGTCAAGTTCTTTTGTTAGAACCTGTTAGGTACCTATAAAACACCTGCATGAGCATATACAAGTATATAGTTGCTAATAGCTATGAGTTCCTCATATATTTCAGGTTATTGGGAGTCAATATATTTAATTTATTTATTACTACAATTATTGCATAGAGCTAGGGCTAAGATCAATCCTCTATTAGGAACTCGTAGTTATTATTGACTCCACTGCCTTAACAGTCTCTAGCCCTGGTCCTCACTCTACCTGTAGTTGTAATGCCTCTTTTTGAGAAGTCATCACTTTTCCCACATCCTTTAAGTAACATGCCTGCTATGACCTCTCACCATGATCTCCCAATTGCTTATCAGGAAGTTGACCACCATGTGGTATGTGTTCAGAAGAGGTTGCTTGAAGAATGTGTTGTAGGTGGTTGGCGCATCCATAAATATGAAGTCGGCCATGTCAATGTACCTGTGTTACCCCTTACCCCAGATGATAGGAAGGGAGATCACGCCTTCAATATCCCTACAACAACAACAACAACAACACAACAACAACAACACAACAACAACAACATCAAGCCTTTATCCCACTACGTGGGGTCGGCAATCGCAAAAAAAATCATAGAGGAGACTTGAAGTTGGAGTAAGGACGCAAGAAAGTTTATTTTTTAAAAGCATATTTAAAAATGATGTTTATGGAACTCCCAATATCAATGAATAGGTTGATGATCTAGTAGTTTGTGACCAGAGCGATGATGACCAAAACATCATTGAAGGGTTTTCCACTTGCTAGTTTGTCCACCTCACAAAAAGTGATTTGACCGACATTAACAGTTGACACCTGCGAAGAGTGGCTGAGTTAACTTCTCTTATGCAAGGTCTCTTGGAGCTGGCCTCTGTAAATGACTCGGCTCATTCTCCACTAGAATGGCAAGTACAACCCTTGCCAATGTGAATTGCCTAAACTCCTCAATGTCGTGTCCATGGTGCATAGGGAAGACAATATTTGGAAGTGTTTACGGTATGGGCAATCACTTTCATTAGTGAAAGACTCTTGAATAATTCATTATTTTGATTGGTATCAATGAGCTTCTTTGTGATACAGACAAGTGATTTGTGATGCTCCTATGTGTGTGGCAAGCAATCTCGCAATCCTGAGCGACCTAGTCTGCAGAGACATCCTTGGCTAACTTGGGTGGTGATGAGCATTTGGTTAGTGCTGCCTCCTATTGATCCCATGGATCTTCAGGTGATTCATGTCGTGCTCTCAATATTGATGTTGTCATGCCTCGCGACTAGTTCTCGGTGGTGATTGGCCTGGCAACCCTCAACCACACGCTGCACTCCTCTAAGTTAATAAGGCTGTCGGTGAATTCGAGCAGTTCCGCAAATGTTTGGGGCTATTGCAACCCAAAAGTGTAAGGAAAAGAACAATCTCTTAGGCCTTATGTTAAAGCAGCCTGTAACATCCAACTCTACCAGCATTTCCTTTTGGAATGGGACAATGAAACTTTCGAGTGATTTACCTAGCTCTTGGCGCATCTTTCAGAGAGCTTGCAAGTTTCTTATGGATCTCTAGGCACTTACGAATTGAGTGGCAAACATCTTCTTGAACTCCACAAAGGAGGTGATCACACCCAACTATACGTTAATTTATCTCCAAAGAGCAGACTTCTTGAAAGTGGTAAAGAATAATCGACACTAAAGGCATTGCTAACATTAAGTAGTGTTGTCACTGACTTGAAATAAGTGACATAGTTGGACGAGTTAGTCATTCCATATAGGACTCTTAGTTAGGCAATTTAAACTTGGGAGGCAGCCACACCTCAGTTATCTCCCTAAAAAATATGTTGATTATCCGAGTTCTATCCTTTTCACTCGTTGAGGAGGGTTGTGCTCTTCATTATTGGTGTGACTGTGAGTGGGATCAACATTAGGCATTGGCGTGAGCACCCTAATTTTTGGCCTTATGTATTGAACAACCGAGTAAGAGTATCCTTTTGGAGTGCTCTCCCCTGAGACATTTTTCAATAATTCTCTTAGCACATCTTGAACTATCTTGGTGAGCCTTTCCATCATCTCCATTATGTCGCGACAAATTGTGTAGTTGAGGATATTCATGTTCACTGATGGATATGGGTATCGTTCTTCAAGATATGCATGTTTTCTTATTACCAGCATGAATCCATGTTTGCCACATCTTTCAGGATGTTAGATCCAAATTTGTCCATAGATGATATCCAAATATCCAAATTTTCTAACAAGTAATTTTTTAGGTAAGAGCTGAAGAACTAAGAGAGGTTCGAGTGAGTATGGAGAGAGACAAAAAGAGAGATGAAAGCTCAAAATATACCAAAAGATTGAAAAAATGTTCAAAAGATAAAAAATGTGCCTCTTTGCCATTTATTTATAAGGCTTAAAGGGCTAGAGGGAAGGTTAAACTAAAAAGTAAAAAGTGTAATGTTCATTATAACCCATTGCAGACTATATTGAACACGTGGCTAGATTGGTAGGAACCCATGTAGCTTTCTACATCTAACATGGCCTTTTGTTCCAAGGCAAGTCTCTAGGCTAGCCTTCACAAGCAGGCGTACTAAGCAAGTCTCAAGATATAGCATATAAAATGAGATTGTGTGGGCAAATCCTCTAAATGATATGGCGAGTCTCTAGAGGAAGTGCATGGACTTTCGAGCATGAGGGTGAGCCCCTTTGGGAAACAATGACCAAAAGTAGAGGACTGATCGAGTCTAGAGTAGTATAATCACAGACCCTTGAGGTGTGCACTTTTTGTAGTTGGATTGGGGGATGTTAGTGGTAGCTTGCTGGTATGGATGGCAGCGAGTGATCTTAAAAAATCAATCTATGCCGAGATAAGTGATTCTCGAGGGCTTGGATGAATCCGTATAAGTTCCCTAATGGACATGCCTGGGATGACTCCTCGATCGAATTGGCTAGGACAAGTCACAATCCCTACTCGTGAGTATCTTTGCTGGGCGATGTGATTCTCTAATTGAGTTCTTATGTTAGAACCTACTAGTTATCTGTAAAACATCAGCATGGGCATGTATGTATACAATTACCACTAGCTATGAGTTCCTCCTATTTTTGAGGTTGTCGGGAATCAATCCATTTAATTTGTTTATTATTATAATTACTGTATAGAGCTAAGGATGGAGTAAATTTTAGATTATATTAAAGTAAGAAAACTTTATTGCTATTCAAGTCAAACTCAACTAGAAATTAAAACCAATAGGTTAAACTAACTCAATTAGAAATCATTTTCTTATAAGTTGACTTAAATTAAATTGCATTCAAATTTTTTATATAATTGTACATGTATATAATATAATATAATTATCCTTGAAGCAACCATAATTGTTGAAGAAATAACCCAGACTACCTCTTCTCATGAGATTAAGCATTGAGGGTTCGATTAGTATTGTCGCTTCAAAGAACTTCAAATTTTTATTAGATTAGTGTAGAAATCCTTAAATTTTGGTTAAATAGATTAAGATGGCTAGTCTTAATTTATAATTTCAAGGCCATATAATAAAAAAATAAACTAAAAAGAAACTGGTCTAAAAAACTTTGATTTTTTTTCTCTATAAGTGGGTGACGGCAGAAAGCACTTTGGTTGATAATTAGCAAAACACATGACTTGCTCATCATAAAAATTGTTGAAGACGTTTTGAAGGGCAATGTGTTGGTGGATGATCAGCGACTGTCCACATACCAATAATGTGTTTCCTCCCCCTCGCGTTGAGCTCTCATAAGCATTTCTTACTCTTGGCTAACAGGATTGGGATGGTCGACACCAATTATACTTTCAGCCTTTGAAACAAGGACAAATTTTGCCTTCCAATCTTGTACCTTGTTTGCCAGCCCTACTACCGTCATCTCCACTGGCAAAAATTGAATAAACCCATGATGGAGCGCCTTCATAGGGAAGAAATGCCTAAAGTCACACAAAAATGAAGTAAATGATACCATCGAAGCAATCAAGTCTAGCAGCACCTAGTAAAGGATGACTCCATAGAAGTTGAAGACATCGACCAACTAGTTGCATAAAGGAAGTTCCAACCCTAGGCTGAAATGGTCGACAGGGACATATCTCAGCATTACGAAAGGTATCCAAGCGCTCATCATCGTTGGAAGCATATACATTGACCTCGCTCAATGCATAAAAGTAGTCATCATGATAACAAAGGTAGGCATGATCCATGGTTACTTGCGCCTCCAACAAATTTGAATGAAATCAGTTACACACTTGCAGAAGGCAACCATCTCAATTTAACATACTCACAAGAAGGAAATTAAGAGCATAGGGAAAGATCGCACTCGTGGGATCCTACCCGAAGTATTTATAGGCAAAATTATTGAACACAACACTTGAGGCACACCCAAATATGCATTTAATGTCTTGATCTCATTTTCTCTCTCCATCATTTCTGAAGAGACTCTGGCATCTTTTTATATCTGCCTATTTAGTCGTAATTAAAGCACTGCATTCACACTCGATTGAGGCATCATTCTAGCGAGATCCCAAACATCAAAGTTCCAAAAAAAATCAAAATTCCAAAATTTTCACTCATCACTCAAAGAGCATACATAATGCTACTCGTCATGAGAAAGCAGAGTACTCGCAAGATATTCGCACTCATCGTACATGTAGTGCTCATCACACTCAAGAGAAATAAAGTAGAAGACGGGAAAGACAAACTCGCACAAGAAAGAAAAATCTTATTTCATACATGAAGTCGCTACATAAAATTTTAAAAAAATTAAGTGGTGCAAGGTTGCATGCCACCACGGTGTATTTTGTAAATAGGGTCATTCGCAATCGCTACCGTCAACCCCCCTACTCCTAGATACTCCAACAAAAAGGAACCGCCAGTTAGGAAGTTGGATTACTTAGACGATTGAATGATCGCCTTGACTTCCACACTCAAAGAGCTAATTAGAATCCTTATTTCAAGGTGTTGCACTCTCATTTTGATGGCATACACCCTCAGTTTGGTGTTTTCCTTCTGTCTCATCATTCCTCTTCCTCATCTTGATGACCTCCTCCATACTCACCACATCTCGTGAGGAGGCGAAGACATCCACTCCATGTAGATGAAGCATCTGCTCCACCTCTAAGAGTCATCCAGTGACATCCTTCAATGTGACATAGTCTTAAGGGGTAATGACATCCCTTGAGTGGTTCAAAGACAATAACCCTATGGGCTTCTCCTTGTAAGCCTCGTACTCATATAGCTCCTCCTCGACCTTAATCATGGCCCCAGCCAGCTCGGCTGCATTAGAAAGCCCGACGATATCAATAATAGTCAATGGGCTAGCTCCCTAATCTCCCTTTATAATCCACACCCCTGAAATCAACAAATATAACTCCTCACGAGTCAAACTCAGCACACTTAAAGGCACAACCAGGAAGAAATCTCACTAGATAGCTCAACTTGTTTACTTCTAAGCTATACATTATTCCAAAGCCTTCATCTCTCGCTCGAGAAAACATAGATTATAGGCTTTCTCAGAGCGGGTGCCTTATTTCGAGTAATGACATTTCTAAACATATACTAGTCTCTTTTTCGCTTATCTGTAGGTTGAGGCACAAGTGAGTCAAAATCTCCACCTCAAAAGAACTGACTTCTTCTATAGCCTTTGTTGTTGAGCGCTATAGTGGCACTTGCTTTCTCAATACCGAGTCCTAAGGCGTATCATACTCATCATCATCAAGGTTGACAACACGGGTGATCACCATAATAGCAACGATCGTCGCCTCAAGGTCCACCCTAAACTTCTTTTTTTGCGCAAGGGGCAATGACGAGCCTAGAGACCACCAGTGCCGACCGAGCACCGTTGTCAACCTCCTTGCTTAATGATTCGTTACTCGGCAACACCCTCTTGTAAATCTACTCCCTCTTATTCAACACTATCAAGCTCACCCACATTATAGAACTCACCTATCACACCTTTGGTAGTATTGAGCTCACCCATATGCATGCCAATATAACTCTGCAACCCTCAGCCTCCCTCAATTGATCAAGGGGGTACACATGCCTAGACCATTATGTAGTGTTGCATACGTGAACTGTATAGTGTTATATCTTTTTACTTTTCTCTTTATGTAACCTTTACCGTAGCCCCCATGACTCTATAAATAAGATGTCATGAGGAACAATTTGGGGGAAGACCCTTTTCCTTTTTTTGATAATGGAAACTCTAGCCGTTTAAAAGATCTAATTTTCTGAGCATTTCCTAGATTCTCTTCCACTCTTTGATTCTATTCTTCACTCTCCATTCTCACCCACATTCCTACTCATTTGCTCACTCAGTCGGCATGCTAGTAATGTCTAGTGCACCCATGAATAAATTATGATCCAAAGTAACCCACAACTCCTCTAAAGGACTAATTGTTGTTGTGACTTAAAAAAAACTTTAAATTTTGTAAGATGACTGTGAAAATTTATAAATTTTGATTGAATAAATTAAGCTAATTAGTCTAAATGTAGAATTCAAAGGCCATATAATTGTAAATAAACTAAAAGAATTTGGTCTCCAAAATTTTGTTTCATTTTCTCTGTGGGGGCCAAGAAAGTATTTTACTACTTCATTATTTTATCGTATATTCATAACAAATATTTTTACTATTTTAAATTTATCAGTAAGTAAGTTAATTTAATTTCATGATATTTAAATATAATAGACAATTGTTAAGCATGTTCCGAATTAAAATTAGATCAGCATATAAATATAGCATTTTTTCGACATAAAAAAAAAAAAAAGTCAAGTTTGTTTTCTTACTGAAGTGTATGTTTTTTATCTCTCTCATTCTTAAATTGATCATCACTTTTGTTCTATATTGCAGAGTGTCATTTTTGAGCTGTACAAAAGCAACAAGTGATCACGCAAACTGCTGTTTTTGAATGTCTTCATTACAGACAAATATATGCTGGAAAGAGATTTCCAGTCTGCTGCCTTTTCACTTTTCAGCTTCGGCACCATCTTTGTATATTTGCTCATCTTTGTATTAGCGAATTTATTTTGATATATAACCGTGGAATTGTGATGAACTGCTCGAGTTTAAGCTTGCCTGCAAATACTGCTTTCATATTTAATGAATGAAAATCTTATGCAGAATATTTTCTCAGTTTTTCCTTAATATAAACTTCATATTGTCAATTTTCTCAACATCTCATGTTTTTTCAAGTGGTTTTATGGGCCTGGTTGATTTGAAGACATGCGCAAGTGATTTACAGTTGGATGATGGTAGTCGAGCGATGGCAATCAAACAATGATAATTAGGCAACAATGATCGACGATTAGATCATTAGACAAGGTCGGTGATGGCGATAGCTGGAGGAGATCATAGGCGTCGAACATCAAGCGGCTCTAGAGTTCTTTAGATTTCCAAACTCTCTCCCAACTTAAGTTTATACTGTCTTCATGTGCAGAATGAGGTATATTTATAGTATTTTTAGAGTAAGCATTTTGAAAAATTTAACCAAATTTTTATAACATTTCATCAGATGACTTATATTAAATCCTTTGATCATAGTGTGTTTCATCAGCATTAAGTCTTTTAATGGCCTCAGAATCAAGTGAGATTAGGTTTGTTGGATTCATCGTACCGAGCAGCTCATTTTGCCTATATAAGCATTCAAGATTTAGAGACTATTTGATCATTTATGTCCCAAAATTTTTTACTATTGTTTAAGAAACTTGATTTGGGCTCATTTAGATTTAGATTAAATCATATTTAATGTCGTTGGGTTTGTCTTATCTAAATGCTTAATTTGACTACAAGTTTGTTGAAATCTAACTACGAATGATTCTAAATTTAATTTTGAAAGTTTTTAATACAAATATTGTATCAAAATTAGTCATGATCAAAGTAAAATTGCTTAAGGGATATCATTTGCCTGTGTTTTCGGACATTGAACTCTATGTTATCTAAAAATATGTATTTAATCTTCGAGATAATGTATAAGCACAAAATTATAATTTTGAAAAATTAAAAGGCAAAACCACTCCTTGGACGTCAGAATGGACCTTCATCACCTTCCTATGGATTGTGAAATAAATAAATTTACTAAAATTATACATTTGACTTTTCTTGAAGTCGTGCATCAATTGAAGCAAAAATTATTAAAAAAAATTTGCCCCAAATACTTCAAATTTGCTTGATCATGGGGACTTTGTAACACTCTAACAATGTCAAAATTGAATCCAAAATATGTAATAGACATATTCAAACACAAAATCAAACCATAATGGATTGTGTCAACCGACCGACCAATCGTCGCCACAGCGAATGGTGTGCATGCGCGCAAACACGTAGTTGCGCACAATTATCGAGCATGTATGCCCACAAGGGCATGTGCGTCCAAGTGTGTTTGCGGTTGTGTAGGCTCCTTTGTGCACGAAAACGTGCGCACGCTGATACGCTATTATAGTAAACGCCCTTTCATGAATCTTGCATGTTCATTGTTTTTGTATAAATTTTTAGAATTTTGATTTAATTTTTTAAATTAGATGATTTCGTGTATATTTGTGTTTTTCCCAAATAATTTCATAGTAAAATTTTATCTTTTTTATTTGTAGAAGAATTTTTATTTTTGACTGTCATGATGCTAAACTTGCAACATTTCTGTCTTCATTGCATTTTTGTAGTCTATTCATTCATAAAAAAATTTCAAAATTTTTTTGGATGAAGATTGCATTTTTATGATTTTTTTTCACGTAACACATTATTGTTTATTGAGTTAGAAAACTCATAAGCCGTCATTTTGTAAAATCCATCTTTTTCTGATTTTTGAATTCAAGAATTTCTTATGATTTATATATCAGTCCAAATTACTTTAACTTTTGTAAAGATGCCCCTTAATATGTAAATCTCTTTTATATATATATATAATTTAAATTATCTTTTGCTGTAAAAATTCTTGAGTAACTGTTAGTTGAATTTCTCACCATCTTAGTTGCACTAAAAATACATTAAAAATTAGATACATGAATTTATCACCATTTTTCTCTTTATACTTCATGTAATCCTTGTTGCAAAATTTAAAATTTGTGATCATTCATACTTTAATTGTTAATATTCCAATCAAAGAAGAATGCAAAAAATTTCAAGACCTCCTTTAGAAGCTTATGCACGTCGAAAGAAGTTCGACTATTTTGCCCACAAGATGCCAAACTAAAGAAGATAACTAGATCAACAATAGTTGATGATGTGACATGTATCACCATCGGTGATGCTATGATGATTCTTCACTCCTAGTAGATTCAATTGAGCCCATAGTCCTGACAATGATGCTCCGATCTTCACCTAAAAGAGGTGTTGACTTTTCTTGTCGAACAATGGGACTTATAGATAATCAAAACATTCAAGCCCAATAGTTAGGCTCTAGTCTTCCCTTGAAAGAGGCATTGACTATCATAGATGGGAGATGGGATTTAGAGATGATCAAGACTCTCAATCCCAACAACAAGGCTCCAATCTTCCCCTCAAAAGTGGTGTTGGTTGTCTTCGTCTAGTGACCTGATTTGGACGTAATCAAGGCTTTTAGTTCCTACAACAAGGCTTTGATTTTCTCCTGAAAGAGGCATTGCTTGTCCTTGTCCGTTGACTAGATTTAGAGGCGACCAAGACTTTTAGTTCCCACAACAAGATTCCAGTCTTCCCTTGAAAGAGGCATTCATTGTCCTCATCATGTGATGGGATTTTGCGGTAATCAAGAATTTCAATTCATATGATGAGGCTTTGATCTTCTCTTGAAAAAGCATTGATTGTTCTCATTTGATGACAAGACTTTAAGGCAATCAAGGCCTACTTTTGCATTTCTTCTCAGAAGTTATATTCCAACATTAATGATATAAGCATCAATGTTGATTTTAATGCAACTCCAATTATTTTGGAAATGTTGTAGCCAAATCAAAAAAAAATATTTTATTAAAAACTAAGTTCAAGAGAGAAGAGATCGCCCATTGAAAGCTGAGATAAGAGTTTGAAGGTTAAAATCTTCATAAGATTTTCTTGAGATGTTAATAAAGATTGTATTAATATCATGCAATGGTCTTCTATATGACTTGGAAATAAAACTTCTTATTTGCATAGATGCATACTTCATCATGTATTAATACAAGTTTAACCAACAATTGTAATTAGATTTTTGAAAGTAATGAAATTTTAATCTTGTAGATAATAATAATCCGATGTTCCAAAAACTTGCCTTGAGTAGGGAACTAAGCTTTCTTGGATGCCTACTTCAATGAGTATGATATAATTCTAACCAAGCTCTATATGATTTAAACAGGGTCATGAATAATTAATTTTTAGAAATCTATCTTCCATGGATTGTTCATATGAGGCGACACCTTAACTTGTGGCGGAAGATGCAAGAGAAACATATCAAGGATATTTGACATGTCTGGGATTATTTGTTAAAAAATTATTTGATAACATTAACTTGTATGCAAGTGGTCAAGAAAAATCCACTGAGAAAGTTTGACAATCCAAGATTATTTGTCTTAGCATCGCTCAATGTTGTAAACTTATATAGAAAAGGTCAAAAATAATCCACCAAGAATATTTGACCTATATGAGGTTATTTATCAAAGTATTAATCGATGACATCAACATATATTAAAGATATTAAAAGAAATCTACCAAGAATATTTGAACTATCCAATGTTGTTTGTAAGAGCATTGTTGATTGACATTAACTTGTATGAAAGAAGTCAAGAAAAATCTAACGAGGATGTTTGACCAATCCATGATTATTTTCAAAAATTGCTCGATGATGTTAATCTAAGTGAAAGAGATTGAGTGAAATTCACCAAGGATATTTGATATATCTAAAATTGTTTATCAAAGTATTTCTCGATGATATTGACTTATGTGTAAGAGGTCAAATTGAACCTCCTTAGGATAGATTGCACATTGATTGGGTTGATGTCATTTCTAGATCTTGGATATGACTTTACTCATGGAGTAGAAGTCTAATTGGGATTGTATATGAAACTTTATAAATGATAGTTACTTGGAGTCATTGATAATATCTCTTTAGGGTCGCATCTTCCCATTTGAATCTTTAAGTTTGAATGTTCACAACTTGTCTATAGCAACCACAACAACATGAAAGTTTATAGTCCCTCCCAAAGAGGTGAAAGTTTATTGTGTTGGGATTCCATTCACATTAGCCTCAAGAATTTGTAAGACAAACTCCAACAAAGATAGTTTGGGGTATCACCCTTCGATTAAAGTGACGAGTTATTCGTTGATAATAGAAAGCACTCTAAGAGAAGCTATATCATGGGTTTCTGGAAGAAGAACAAGATTTTAATAGAGCACATCCTCATTATTAGTCATATCAGATGTTTGGACCCTCAAGCTTGGCACACCAATATCAACAAGAATAATTGCTTATGTATCGAAACATAAATTATAAGATGAGTCGTGCAATAAGTCCAGAATACATTGGAAACCTCTTCAGCCCGTGTCCCTCGCAGTCTTTTCAATGAGTGCTCTTAATCTTTAAGAATGGTTCAATTTTTTACTTCTACCTGTCAATTCATTTGAGTATGTGCAACAAATGTGTTGAACCAATTGAATATAAAGATTTTGCAAAAAAAAAATGTAAATGTTTTTTTTTTTTGGTGAATTAGGTCCTATTGTTCGTGATGATCTTTGTGGGAAGGCCATAGCAGTAAATAATGTCCTTCCATACTAATCATTTAGCATTTGCTTTATTTAGTGAGTTGCTCAGCTTCCATCCACCTAGGTTGATGGTTCTTACCAGTGACTACTTCACCCTGTCCAATAGCTATTGGAAAAGGTCCTATGATGTCTGGCTATGACCCATTAAGCGAAGTGCCAGAGATTTTGAATAGATAAAAGTTTCACAGGTGAAACATGACTGAGATGTGAAATGCATTTGACAATTGTTGCATTTTAAAACAAAGTCTATTGCATTATGTTTTATTGTCGGCCAGTGATATCATTGTCTTGAGATTTTTTGAGTTAGTATTTGGCTTCTCAAGTGTTCCCGAAAGCTCATAAAAAATACTATAAATAAGCGAGAAACAAATAGAATATATATCAAAATTATATAGTAGAATATGTATTTATCATTCAATTGCAGGAAAATAAATCATCTTAATATTAAATTATTAGGCATGTTCAGTATAAAGCAAACAGTGAATGGTTACAATGCTCAATTCATGGTTCAAAGCATTGATCATGTGAATGACTATAGAATTTGAACTTGTGAAGATAGAACCACAATTTGACTACTCAAAATATACATTTATAACCAAATATATACTCACAGAACAACTCAGAACATACATTTGCACTATCCATCAATCTCTTTCAGCTACTTAAAGAACAATTTCACAGTAAAAGCTAAAGAAGCATACATACATACTTCCAAATAACCAAATCACAATCTTTAACCTTCCAAAATAAATCAAGAAAGTAGTTAAACATATCATACGCAGAACTGTGAAAAAATTCAAAGGAGGGAAATAAAGATATTAGAATTATGCGAAAATACTTCTTAAATCAGCAACCAAAGTTTCTTTCACCCATCTCTAACTTGAACCATTTTATCTAGTATGTGTACGAAGAAATGTGAAGCAAACAAACAAAGTAACAGCAAAGTGCAAACTCATCACGCACAGATTTAGATGAGAGAGGGTCACAACTTGGAGAAACAAACAGAGAAAGCATACCGTGCGAGATGAGATGAAACATAAAAAAGCATAATGTGGCCACTTGAGCTTAGCCGATAGTCAGATTAGAGGAACCTTGACGTCGTTTTGGCTGGTCTTCACATGGAGATCTCCTTCCCATGGGGCTGTGTCGCTCGATCCTTAAACCCTAGGCGCTCCGTGGAAGCTGAAAGCGGAAGAGTCGGGAGTCGGACTCATGCGGTGTAAACGAGTGGAGCCCGACTCGAGTCATTTCTAATTAGTGCTAGCCTCGCCAGTCAAAGTGGAAGCTAAAAATTGAGTTCGAGCCCAAGTTGAGCTCAAAGGGCCTGTTTGAGCTAAGCTCGTAAAATAAAGATAAGCTCATGAGCCAGCGCACGAGGAAAAAATTTTCTATGCAAACTTCAAATATGTCATCCTTTTGTTCGGTATCGCGGCTCGGTACAGCTGACGTGGCTACACCTGTTTTGTCTCCGGACATAGAACTGCGTCCGATATCCACACAGAATAATTTCTCGCACACGAGACACCGGTTGACCGCCAATGAGATCATTGTCTTAGAAGGTGTTGATGTTGCATTTTTTTCCTATGGAGCTTTCTTAAGGAGCGTCGATTGATCACAGCGATAGAAAAAGCATTCCATTTTTTTTTTTTTTTTTTTTGGATGGAGAAAATATTGTTGAATCTAATAAATTTTTATACTTCAAAACCGTTTTAGAAAACATTAAAAGAGCTGCCCAAAAAAATCTTAATTGAAGTAATTAATGATGCAGTTTTTTTTCCTAGAAAATAAATCCTAATAATTTTTATGAAAGCTGCTGGTTGCTTTAGGCTGCTGCTTTTGTTTTATTTTTTTGGAGGAATGGTAGCCTTAATTAATTTTTAATGTTCTAATTTAATGGAAGTAATAATTATTTAAAAAAATTATTACATGCATTTGAATCAACTCGCAAGCTTGACAGTCGAGTCTCGTCAAGCTCACATTCAAGCTTGGTTACCATAAGAACTCAAGTTTAAGCTCGAGTTTGAGCTCGAGCTCGTGGTTCAATAAGCTTAACTGAAGAGCTCGTCATCAAGTCAAATTTAAGCCAATTCACGAGCTAACTCGGTTTATTTACACCAATCCCAATATGGGAACAACTTATATGGCTGTTTGGATGCTAGTATATTTTAATTTAGTAGGATTTATCCCATAAATTTGAATTTAATAATTTTAATTAAAGTTAAATTCCAAAAATTATTTAGCAACATAGTTATTAAAATTTGTTAAATTTTCTGAGATTATTTGACAATATAATTTAGAATTTAAAATGATTATTTGAAATATGAGTTATATTATAGTTATTATAATAAAATAATAATAATTACCAAAACTCATGTGTTTACATAAAGCATTGGAGATAATTATTTAATTACTAATTAAGTGTTAATTTAATCAATATTTGATTACTAATTATATCAATAATTATCTAATTTAATAAGTATTTGTTCAAGGCTTGACATGATTTTTTATTACAAGATTATGATTCACACTTTTAATATAGAGCTTTTCTATGTTTTGAAAGCTATGATCAATTATACTCTTGTTCCTAACACTTGGCTTGTAAATTCTTGCAAGTTGTATCAAAATGAGGGGAGTTACAATAACTTTTTCTCTTCCTACCCTGTCAAGATATGAATTTAATTGAATGTCGAGAACCATTAACCATTTTTTCTCTTATCCACACAAACAATCAAATTATTCATTGTTGGGAGCCTTCAACCAATCTGTTAATATGTGGTTTATGCCTCTAATGCTCAAGCTGACATATCTCCCCTATAGAGTTTCATCATTGATATTGAGTGCATTATAAGATCTTCTAACCAGCCTTGAGCTATGATTAGAGATTTTAATTGTTGTAGGCATTACAAAAAAAAAGAATGGAGAAATCATATTCCTAATAACAAATTTTTGGCATTCAATAATATGCTATTTGATGTTGTTATTAAAGTCCTAACCTCTATTGGTCTTTCCAACACCTAGTTCAATAAGATAATCCCATTTTTCAGACCTCATTCTATGGGATTAAAAGCCCCAAATGCTTCAACCACTCCCCATTGATTGTCCACACAAATTAATTTTATACATGCAACAATAGATTTCTCTAATCAAAATTGTTAGTCTAAACTGCCTCCATTTTGAGAAGGTTTTGCAAGTGGCCTTTATAGTAATCACAATATAGATCATGTAACCTCTCTTTATGCTAAATTTCCTCTACAATTAGAGAATTTCATTCCCAAAAGCTAGCTGCTTCACTTTTCTTAATGGTGGTCATATGAACTCCAAGTTAAATACCAATGAAAAATTTTTGGGGGAAGCCCTCTCCTACTCTTGCTCTTATTAGGCCTCTTGGATAATTTAAAGAGGAAAAACAAAATAATTAATTAATGGTAAAGAACTTAAAAAAAAATGGTAAAGAACTTAAATTCTTATATGGAAGAATAAAAGAAAGTACTTTAATTTCCATCTTCATTGAATACCTTTTCTCCAACCCTTTTGAAATTGTTGAAACTACACCTCACATTTTAAAATTTTGTTCAATCCTCCCAACAATACATCTTGCAACACAATCTCCTCCCCTATAGGAAATGTTATCCACCCCCACATCTCATCCCCTTGCTTATTGCCCCAATTACAAATGAAGAAAAAAAAGTTGTGTTCTCAGCCTAAAAAAATATAACTCTATGCCCAAACAATTTCATCTTTTAATTATATTCATCTTGTTGGGATTTTATTGGTGAGAAAGTTTATAAGGTTGTTAAACATTTTTCAGTGAAAGCTATAAGGTAGCTACTACTTTTTTCCAAAAAAAAAAAAAAAACATCATGCAGATATTTTTGATTTCAAACTTATATCTCTCTATAACATATATTACAAAAGTTTTGAAAAAATTCTTGATTTAAGGATCAAACTCATAATTCATATATTATTCATCCAGTCAAGCTGGCTTTATCAAGTGTAGAAATTCAATGAGCAATATCATTCTTGCAAATGAGATTTTATCTGAGTTATCAGGAAAGCATGTATACTTATTTTGTGCTAAATTTGATTACTTTAAAGCTTTCGACACTATTTCAAGACAATTCTTGATTTAAAGGTTGCATCAAATAGGGTTTCCCTATATCTTCATTAGCTAGATCAAAACATGCAATGAGACTACTTAATCGAGAAAGTTCACTACTCCTTATACCTTAATGGGACACTAGAAGGGTTCTTCAATTTCAATTCTAATTTAAGGTAGGTTTGTCCTCTCTCCCATTTATTTTTTGTATTATTATGAATGCACTTTCTAGTTATTTTTTTATTGAGCAATTGAAAATAATGAATATGATGACATCAATATGGGGGATGAACATACATCCCATCTCCTCTATGTTGATGACCTTTTGATCTTTAGAGAAGATAACTTAGCTAATTTGTATTCTATCAACACGATCCTCAATACTTTTAAAGACACTTCTGAGTTGAATAGTAACACTTCTAAGAGTAATATTATCTCCTTCAAACCACTCCTAATCATGAAAAATGCTTGAGTTCAAAGAGTAAGAATTTTATGCAAGAATTTAATAAGATTATCAATTTTAAATTCAGGTTGCTTATGTTTTTTAATTTCTATCTACTCATATCTATTCTTTAATTCTAAGTATCCATCTTTATTTCAAAATTTAATACATAAAGGTGTAACTTATAATTTCAAATTAAAACAATAAATTAAATGATCTAAGTCAGTTATTTATTAATTTTTTGTTTTTTCATTTTATGAAGTATAAACAATATTCATTTGAACTATGATCTAAGATTTTATTATTATCTTAATTTTACATAATTTTTAATAATCATTTTTTACTAAGATTAATTAAATAAGTAGGATACAAGAATTATAGTAAGCCTAAGGGTAATTTCATTAAACTATAAGTAAAAGAAACACAAATAAAAATTAATATTATACATGCTTTCATATAAATGATAAAGGGCGCATAAAATATGTGATAACATAACATAAACACATTACATGTTACAAGATAACTAATGTACTAGGCACCATAAATAACATACCAAGTGGGTTGCCTCCCATAAGAGCTAATTTTTAAGTCTTCAACCAGACTATACTTTACAATATATCAAAATAAAATAAACATGCTACCCAACAAAAGTTGCCTCCAATCTCTCTCTCTCTCTCTCTCTCTCTCTCTCTCAAGTAAAAGAAAAATAAACCATAACTCTGAATCAGTATCTTCCTCCTCATCATCATCATGTTCTCTTTTCTCTCTAGGCTACCATACAAACAAACCTGATACAAAATTTAAACAAACATGTAATTTTATACAAGTAGCGGTATACAACACCACTCTGGCTTCGGACACCGTCATATTGCCAATGCTAAAGTTCTAAAGCAGTGAAATCAGGCTCTGATGGTTTCTGCAACATCATCAGCAGAACTCTTTCCTGCCTTGGAGCCTTCATTGTCCCACTCCGCCTCAAGGCTCTCAAAGCATTCGCAGCAAACCTAGAGGCATAAATTGCAGCTCCGAGGCTCAGTGAACTGCTGCTGCCTTTCACCAGTGCAGCCTGCAACCTGCTCTCTTTTTCGCGAAGGGATTCCTCAAGCTTCTTTCTCGAATGCCGACGCCAAGCTGCCTGTATATAACAAGCAGCCCATGTTCTCCACTGCTGAGAATATAACCTAAAGGCATGGCGGAGCTGCTTGCTGTGGAGTCTTCGGAATTGGGTTGCAACAAATTTCAGGTCGTCCGCTTCTAGAACAAAACCTTCAACCTCAGACAATGCCTTCACTGTCCTTGTAGAGATTGGCAGGCTGGAAGAGGAATGAGGATCAAGAGCCCAAGTAAGAAGCTCTTCCCCACAGAAGTCACCACCTTTGAGGTAATCTGAGTTGAAGAAACCAGTCCTTCCGCCATTTGTTGTCACACTAAATAACTTGCCTCTCATGATAAAGATCATCTCGTCCACAGGGTCACCTTCACGAATGATACGGCTTTCTTCAGTGTATAAAGCAGGCTTCAGGCAATCACACATTGCATCCATTAGCTGATCATCCATCTTTTCAAAAATTGCAACCTAAAATAAAGTAAATATCCTCATTAGTGATGAAGGAAGCCATTTAAGTTCAGCCCACATAAAAAATGAAGGATCCCTCTAAATGATAAATGTCAGTGTATTTTAATATTTAAATTCTTAATGCATAATAAAATACTCACAATATTATCCTTTCAATTTGAAACTTTAACACAAACTTTGCAATAATACAGTTAGCATAAAATATAAAAAAAAGAGGTATAATGAAATTGAAATATAGCATAAAAGAAAAAAAAAAAAAAAAGATATACCCTCTTGAGCAGAGCCAAACAAAGGTGTCGCTTAACTTCTCTTCTAAGGTCTTTAGGAAGGTTTTGAAGGAGGCTCTCTTCATCAACACCGCTTGTCTCCTGCCATCTGTACTGCTCATGTCGACGTATTCTATCCCTCAAGCTTTCAGGAAGCAAGCGATGAGACATCCATTGCTCTGAATCTCGTCTTTTCATCCTCATTTCTTCTACTCTTACAGTGGTGGATTGAAGGTAAGTCTGTAACAGTGGCAATGAGTTATTTTGTGTCTAGTTTTAAATGGTATAGACTTTTAGATGAAGTAACATATATTTTCAAGTGTAGAAACTAAAGAATAAAAAAGAAAGGGTATAGAGGCAGCGATACAACACGATTGATCAATATAATTATATTCCACACATAACTAACAATATCATCGCTAGCATAATAAATTCTAAAGATAAATGGAATAGCAAAATAGTAATCATAAGCATTAATAACTTGGATTACCATCACTAACATAGAAGCAATCAGCAACCCTTAACTGTACTTAGGATTTTATATGTTTATGCATGAACCATTGTGGTCTACAAGTGCATTACATTCAAGTATTAATCCACAAGTCTTCAGTTCAAGATGTCAATTCAAGTATACTAATAATAATTACACAAAAAACAAAAGAGTAAGGCTGGAAACCTTTGACCATCTTTAAGATAGCCAAAATTTAACAAATGCTATTGAGATATGCAATGCATTATTTTCACAAAATTTTAAAAAATTTAATTTGTATGTACATTAATATTATCTTCAAAAGGAAATTGAAGTAAACTTTGGGTTCATCCTTTAACGGTAAATTTGGTTAAATCCATATTCATGTGTCCACACTTGCACCTACATTAACAGATACAAAATGTAATTTATGATTTTATGCATGAACTGAAAGAAGAAACATTCGAAAGTTAAGGAAGGGAGGATTCAGAGTCGTCAGAATTCTTCTAGTTACCTGCATATTGCCAATGAGAAGTGCAAACAAGACCAAGCCTAAGATGCAAACAAAAATAGCATAGAGAACCTCCCATACGTAAGTACTTGTAACCAGGTTTTGTCCAAGAGAACTGTAATCAGATAAGACAACTGTTAAAATTAGACACAAGTAAAACCGACCAGAAGAGATGAGTGCAGTAAATTAATGAATCCCAATGTATGTTCAGTACGATAGGTAATCTTCTGAAGTTTATATATGTGCCAACTTATAATATACATTTTTTACATATTCTTAATGGCACAAATCATGGCAATTAATTTAATTTTGCATGATGCATGAATTATGATGATAAATTAGGGAGCAAACCTATTTATTTCTATATAAAAGTCATTTTAAGATGTTTCACTACCGATTAGTATTATAATGTTGAAAAGTAAAAAAATTTGGCTTTTTTACATTATCTTGCTTGAAACTAGAAACATCCCCCATTAAGCAAACCTCAGATTCTGTAGTCCCCACCAAAAACAATAGAAGAACTTCTCTGGAAAGTCTCTCGACTGAACAATGTTTTGAAGAGCTGGAATGTAGATACCAAAGTTGAAGATTGAATTATTTGAATTTTGTATGGCGCATGCATCATCTAAAAAGCTATTGTTTTGGCCTTGCTCATTCCCACAGAACCAAGAGGTAGTGTTGCAATTATTTATGGAACAAGCTTGCTTCCAGCATGCATCTTCCCTCTGTATGGAAAACAAGTACCAAAGTGCTCCTAGTACCTGACGAGAATCATCTCACGTAAATAGATCTCTATCAGGTTCTTTTGAAAATTTCTTTCAGAATAGAATAGAAGACAACACAACTGAGAATCATGAACATACATGACTTGCAAGCATGTAAAGCAAAAGGTTGAAGGCAGCCCCGGCCCAGGCTGTTTCAGTGATAATGCCAGCAGATCTTGTTACTTCCATATACAAGGGTATGATCCTGATAAATCGAGGGACATACTGGAATAGGACTACAAGCATCAATAGATTTTTTGCATCGAATGGAGATGTTTCTTTCAATCTTGGTACTATGATCAACGCAACAACCTGACCATAAAACACAAGCAGTACATAATCTTAACAGCTAAAACCATCATATCATCTTGTGCGTAGGAAGCATGAATAATAAAAAGAGAAACGCTAAAAGTTGCCCAATAAGGTAATCCATTAGTTACAATAATACAAAAATCAAAAGAGGTCAAACGAATGCCCATGAATATGAGATCTTTAAGAATCATTGATAGCATAGACAAGAAACATGCAAGTTCATATGTACCTTAACATGAAATCTAAGCGGAAAAAGTTAAAAAAAAAAAAAGGCGAGAAACATAATTCAAACAGAGATGTAGCTGATGTTATATTAGCAAAAAAGAATGAAGAAAAGTTAGTCTAGAAAACAGTTATAGTATATGGAATACAAAAAAGTAGGATTCAGAACTGTCATTCTGTTAGCCATACGGACTTTTTCCAAATTGAATAGGCCTTAGGCCAATTATTTTTCTCTGTCTCTCATATATTTGGGTTTAGGCAGAAAGTTGTCGGTAGATGTCACTTAATATTTTTATTTTATTTCAAGGATTTGGAATTTGATTAGATTTGCATGGCCTCTTATTTTGTTAATTAAACTTGAGCCAAAGATTTCTTCATTGATTATACCAAGCTTAGAGCCTTGAAAATAATTTCTAGTGGACATAATGTATAGGAAGCCACAACTTAACAATCAACTAGCATGAACCCAGCCATTTCATGGCTTATTTGTTCTTATGGGTGTCCTTGTTCTTCTGGTTTATTGCAACAGGGTTTAAGGGAGGTAGTTGTATTTTAGAGAGAAAGCTGTATCTTCTTCCCTAAACAATGTACTAATAATAAAGCAAGTTGTTACAAACTCTCCAAAAATCTTGGTTATAAGGTCCCCAAATGTAAATTGTTTAAAAAAAAAAATCACTATAATTACTTAGGACTGAAATATAGTAACTCTAAAACTACTTAAACAGATGCAATACAAAAAGAGTTTGATACCTGTGGAAGGGGAAGAACAGCAAGGATATCAATGAAGAAGTTTGATGACAAATACCGCCAAGCTATTGCTGATAAATCTTCAACCAAAACACCCCTTCCAAATACTCGAGATGAAGGAGCTATGAAACCAGTTCTAAATTGGAAAATGATATGAAGCACATAAAAGATGTCTGTGAAAGAGCGTAAAACATTTGCAATAGTTTCTAATTTCTTATCAAGCTCAAAGCAATTATTATCATCATCGACAATAGGTACATAAAAGAAAAGAGGATCCACAGATACTGCAAGCACGCAGGCAAGGACAAATATTTTGTTCCATCTTTGAAGAAATGGTCCTTGAGGATCAAGCACTTTTTTATTGTACTGTCTCTCTTTTACAACAGAATCTTTGATAGGCCTGAGGTAAAAAACACTTCTAATTGCTTCATGTATAAACTGAAATAATCTTTGGATTACTTTCACCACCCAACTAAATGGTTTTTCTTTTCCTCCTGAAATTATAATATTTGAACTCATTATTCTCTCGGAGTTCCAGCTCCAAAACCTGCAGATGTGGAAATGCAGGAGCATTACGGGAAATGGACAGAAAACATCTAAGCTAGAAACAAAGAATTGCTTTGACATCTATGCATAGATATCTTTCAATTTAAAGACAACATATTAGCATCCAAAAAGATTTATTAGAGAGAACTAAACAAGAAATTTTCGTTGCTAGCAATTTTAGCATGATAAAAAAGTAAGCAAATGTAAACACTATCAAAAGCAGGTCCTGGGAGAGAACCATAGTCTTGTTCTTCTTTCTTAACTGGCTGTAGGGTAGCCTTTGACCTATTAGGCTTGTCTTGGCCTTTGCTATAGTGATTGACATACAGAATTTTGACTATTTCTTTGGGACATAATTAATAGCATCTTCATATATCCTGAAATCATACCAAGGGATCGGACATCTCCTTTTATGCAATATTCAACACCATTGACTTCATATTTATGCATTGATGTAGAGAAGAAGTGATCATTTGGTAACATGGAGCCAAGTATACCATGCTTTGAAAGAAGTTTCTGAATTATGCAAAACTTATAGGCAGGTGCAAAATCAGGTCTTTTTTTTGTGGGCAAAATAGAAAATGTATAAGATAAAATTCAGTCTTTGGGCATGAACGGGAATGAGAGGAAAGAGAGTGAGAAAATTTTTGTGGCTTTGTGTTTGAACGAGAACGGGAGAGAAGATGGATATCACATTGCTTTTTAGGAGAAAAAAAAAATTTTAGGGGGAGGGGGGAAAATTCCTAAAATCCTCCCTACCCCCTATAAGTAAACTTTGATTTTGAGGTTTAGCCCACTCTCAACATAATGGGGTTCCATCCCTGTTTGTAGGTCATAAACTAGAAGTGAAAGGGTGATGGAACATTAGAACCTAAAAATCTCTCTTATTTCATTGATTCCATGTGATGATGTAATACCATCTTATTTGAACTTAGATTTTGTGTGTACACATTAAGGCGGCCAAGTTCTAAGGTTCTTAATGTTGACCAATGCACCCTCATTTTTGTGTTAGCTAGCTTTATGAAACCACAATTCTCATTCATCCCAAATAAGTGTTGCTGAGAGATTAAACCTATTGTTCACAAATTATTTTGAGTAACTTCTATCCAATTTATATATTGCCACTCTCCAAGGTTTACAAAACTTCAAACAAGATACTTTAAATGAGCCTCATGGGGTTCTCTTCTTTAACTAGATGATCCTTTATTCAACTAGGAATCCTTAGTATTGCTTGATGTTGTACTCGTTTTATTGATTGGTTAAAAAAATTTACAGTTGAAAAAAATATATATATATTTATAATCCTCTAAACTTTCTCAAAAAGTAACGATTTTGGGAAAGTTGCTAAAATGAAACAAATGCTTAGTCCGGGGAAAAGCACTTAAACTTGATGCAGGATGTCATCTAACGAAGAAGGAAATAATTAATTAGATTGTGCAGCAATCCATGTAGTTTCTTGTAGGAATTTACATGAGAACTATGCTTGTCTCTTTCCCTCTAAGTCTGACACATTCTATAAGATATATGGAGCACAAAATCTTAGACAGTTTATAACAAACTATTTTAAATAGCTGTAATAACTAATATCGATTTATTTCTCTTAGTTTTTTCATGTCAGCACCTTTGTCATGCTCAGCGTAATCTTCTTTTCACTTATTTATCAATTTACAGAGCTTAATGCATGTATATAAAGCTAAAAACATTTTTTGCTGAAACATCCCGGTCTTCTACAAATTCAGGAGCTCACCATTAATACCGTATTTGATAACATGAATACTATCACAGTTAACAATACCTTTGCAATCAGTGCAAGGTAGTAGGATATATTTTGCAGCAATTTGGGATTCTTAGAAGCTCTTTAATTGTGTTTGGTATAAAGAAAAGATTGATATATACATATGCTCTTTATGGTCCTTTTTTCTCTTCGTACATGATATATTGATTTGCCAAACTTTACTAAATGCTGAAAAAGAGAAGAAAGCAGGATCCCAATTACACAAAGGGGTGGTCTTAATCCAGCTCTTACACAATTTGATAATCCATTATATATATAAATATCTTTGGAGAGTAGCATGATATCAATGAAATCAGCTAAAATCCTCTATGTTAAAGTCATCTACAACCGAACTCTATACATGCACTCGTTTGCAGTCCGGTGCCTACTCCATCCGACCACTATTTTGAACCTCAATTTCGTGGTCGTGAATAATGCAACGTCAATATTAATATCTGTTCATAAACTCATTGTATTAATCATTAAATTCTAAGACTTTGATCCCAAAATATATTAGTTTAATAATTTTAATATATTTACTTTTTTATGCAATTAATTTATTTAAATTAGGTTATTCATTCTAAATAATTAAAAAAAAATTTGAGAAAGAATATATACGAAATATTTTTTTTAGATTAGAAATGGAGTTCGAATGGCCATTAATTACTGTTTGATTGAAAAAAAAAATTACAAAATCAGCATATGTTAAGCCCTTCACTGGACAGAACTGAAGAAGAAAAATAAAAAAAAAAAACAGTTTGAATCCAATGACATAGATGATTCAGCAAAGGCAAAACTGAACTAACCTGGAAAGACTGGAAACAATTTCCCAAGAGCGCGTCGATGGGGTCGAAGAGGCCAGGCGAGTAAGATTCAAAGGTCAATGCACTTAGCGGAGCCCAAATCCCGACCTCTCCACCTGATGCTTCAGGTATTTTCTGACCATTCGGAGTTTACCCATCCATGGCTTCTCGCTCTCTAAAGCCTGAAACTCTGCAACTTGTAAGCCACGGACCAGTTGCCGCTCTTGTTGCATTTACATTAACGATCATTTTATCGAGGTCGGAAGATCCGCCCGCCGGCAAACCGGGACAAAAATCTGACCCCCACGGTGTAAGCAGAATAGAAAGGGCAAGCAGAATTAATATTTAAATTTTTATATTTATTTAAAAGAAAAATTACTTTTAAATTATTATATCATCTACCTAAATATTTATATTATATTTTAGTGGTCAAATTATATTATATTAAAACATATACATAAAAATAAAATAAATTATATCATAATTTTATACAAATTATATCAAAATTGGCTTGTATATATAATTTCAAATAAATTAATATTAATGATTTTTTCTTGCTTAAATAATAATAAGTTATATAAATAGATATAAAAAGTCATATGTGAAATATGTAAATATATAAAAATTTTATGATATATAACTCCCAAATAAAAATAAAATATGTTACTCTATTTTTAATGATGAAAAATTTTAAGAATCTCAAATTTTGCCTTCACCACAAAAAAAGTCCTTGACAAATGTGTTGACATTTTAATTTATTATATCACCCTCTTATTAGGTGACAATTAGTCATTCTCTTAGTATTTAACTATAGGTAGCACTAAGTTGATTTTATTGGGGTCATAAGGTTGATAATTTGTCTCTAATATTAAATATAGTTTCTAAATTATATTTGATTAAGTCTATTATTATTATTATTTAAAAGATAAGAAACAATAGGAAAAATAAACTTTAATGAGGTAAGAGGTAACTAATTATAGAATTTATTAATAATTGTTTCTCTAAAATGGCTACATATGAATTTAATATAATAGACAAAAAGAAATTTAACTTTATATGTCTCATAATAAAGAGTATTAGACGCTACAGGAAAATCATATATTACCGACGACATTATCTGGCAGAAATTGATCATTTTCCAACGGAATCAGAATTTACTGGCTGCAAAATTTCGTCGATAAAATCCGCGTAGGCAGTTTTCCAGCAGAATAAGTCGCCATAAAATTTAAAAAATTAATTTAAAATTTTAGCTACCTAGCCGGCTGATTAAATAAGTCATCAATCCTAAGTAAATTATATTTATTTATGATAATGACTTTAGTCAACTCATTGTAATCAATGCACATGTGCATCGTACCATCTTTTTTCTTCTCAAATAAAATAGGTGCTCCCCAAAGAGATGTACTAGGATGGATAAATCCCTTGTTAACTAACTCCTAAAGTTTTTTAGGTGTCATCCTATACAAAGCTATAGAGATCGAAGTAGTACCCGAAAAAAGATCAATATAGAACTCTATCTCTCAAGTGTGTTATATAAAATTTTCATTTCTATATTCGATTTATTGTTATATATATATTTGGTAAATTGATTAATTAGGAAAGAGGATTTTATCTACAGATAGATAGACCTTACCGATCATGATATATATAATAGACAAAGTGTAATAATAATAGCTCAAATGAATTCTAAGAGTTTGATACAGCTAGCTAGCATGCTTGTATAAAATATGAGTGATGCTTAGAGTAAATAGGTGGGACACAAGGAATCAAAAGAAGACATATATCTATAGATGTTTCATAAGTTCAAGCCCCACTATTTAAGGGAGTTATAGAGCCACTGGCAATAGATGATTAGTTATTAAGGATAGAGAAGATATTTGATAGCATGTAATGTCCAGATAAATAAAAAGTACCACTTGTAGTATTCATATATGAAGGAGATGGTGGATTGGATAGTAGAGAGAGAATTATTTTTTTTGTGGATGTTTTTAAAACAGGTTTTGAAAATGATTTGTTTTCTTTGAAAATTTGGAATTGACTTTGGATTTGAATTCTAAGAGCGAACATCCCACTAGAAAAGTCATACCATTTGTGAAAGTGGAAATAAAATTCCAGAAAAGGGTTCAAATTTAGAATTACAAATCCTACCTCGAATATCATAATCATATTCTAGATAAAACCACATATGACCTCAAAAGGTCAAGAGAGAGTTCGATCTAATCTCTAACTATGATATTATAAGTTAATTATCATTAATTTCATGCCCAAAGCCTCATTAAGAAATTATATATCTGCCCTAAGTAAGAAGATACCATTATTTGATTATTGTTTGGGCATGACGATAACGATTGTCGTGGGTTGACTTTTTCTAAAGAAGACTAATTTGAGTTTTGAAATTTTCTTTTGAAAAAATTGGGACTAAGTTTAAATTTCAATTCAAAAGTCGAACATACCATTAGAGAATATATACCACCTTGAAAGGCTGAGATAAAATCTCCTAATGGGTTCAGATAAAAAATTATAAATCTTCTTTTGGCTATCCAAGCCTAATTTAAGAGAAAACTACATATGACCCTAGAGGGTCAAGATGAGGTTCAATCAAATATCAGACCATGATAATTAAGAGAAATGATCATAAATTTTATATTCAAACTGACATAAATCTCTCTTAATGAAGAAAATAACATCCGTTAGCAATCATAAGATTATGACGATAACGATTATTACAAGCTTGATTTCACAAAAGAAATATCAACTGAGTTTTGAAAATTAATTTTAAAAATTGATGTGGGTTCTAAATTTCCTACGAGCGCAAGCCCTCGTAGTTAATTACATCGTAGAAAAATGGGGTCTCCTATGAAAACTCTCGATTAAAATAGTGGCAAAATTTTATTAAAAGATCTTCTAGGAGTGATGTCAAAAGAGATGTATTTTGGAATATCAAGTGGGAATGGGTCGACTTGGATAAGTTATTTTCAAAGCCAAGAGAGGAAGAGTAGATGACACTTTAAGATTCTGGAATAATCTAAAAGTGTCCCAACCTAATATAAGTGTTGGGCTTTATGTTTTGGATTGAAAGAAGATTTAATTTAAGTTAAGAATTTTATTAGAAATTTGGGATTATATTCCCAAAAGTTGGGGTCTTATGATCCAAGATCTGCCTCGGATCCTAAATTTAAATTGGGCACCACATAGTGGTGACCGAATCTAACTAATGTAATATAAAATCTAGACTTACCTCAGCATGGATTGGAGAACCAGCTAACCACCTAGTTAATTTTAAAGATATAAATCCAATCATTTTATGAAAGAGTGGTGGGAATATTTTTATGAAGGTTTTGGAGAGTTTGGGCTAACATCTAGAGATGGTCCTAAGTGACCTATTGACTTATGCTGGGTGAAAAATACTAAATACTGATACAATTAATATTTAGTATCTTTTAAATGTGTTTCTAATGTAATGTATGCTGGTTAAAATTAGGGGTGTCAATTCGGGTCGACAGGTCAGGTTCGAGTCGAACTTGAGTTGACTCGGATCTAAACGGGTCAACCTGAACCCAACCCATTTTTATAAATGGGTCGAACATTTAAACCAGGACTAGACCCGCTCGAGTTGCCGGGTTGACCTGACCCGACCTCATGAGTGCGGTTGTAAGGGATCGTGAGCGGTAGCGGCGGAGTCCAAGTCACGACTCTGACTCGCAAGTGCGCCTGCGGAGTGCGGAGCGGAGCTGGTGCGGGCTGAATGCAGGATCTGCCCATTCCACCGAGGTCGCGGAATGCTTGGTCAGGCCGGATGCGGGTCACGGGATGCCGGAATCCACCGAGGTGCCGATTGCGGGCTAGTTCAGCTGGAGTGCTGGACGCGGGATCTGCTGCTCCACGGCTGTGTGGGCTCACCAGGCTTGACACATGTGAGTTCACGGGACCTGATGCAGACCCGACCTGATGAGCTGACGGGTGTTGACCTCGATTTTGCCTAAACCCTTGGTCAAAGGGTTGACTTGGTCAAATTGACCAAGTCAGACCCCAAGACCCTCTCCAATAGACTCATTGGGTCGAGTCGAGTCTGTTGAGCCCGAGCTTGGACCCTGGGTCAACCCGGTTGACCAAGTCAACCCAGGTTGACCACCTAGCCCATTAAGAGCTCAAATCAGTTCTAAATCATTTCAAACCCTTTCTTGGCTCAATCCTCATCCACCATTGATCTATTTGACTGATTTGACCAGGTCAAACGTTGACCTGGTCAAACCAAGCCCTTAATAGGTTATTAGAACTTATTAAATCCTATTTAAGAGCCCATTCAATGCCTAATTGATCTCCCTTGGTTTTGAATTGAATTCCACGGCTATTTCCCTCTAATTTCCCTCCTAAATAGCTGGTGATTCGATCTTAGCCGTTGAGATTAATCCCAGGGCTTTAAATATCCAAAATTAAGTCTTTTGGAGGGATCTTTTTGCAACCTCTCTCTCTCTAGATGACCTTAGGACTTGAGATCTTCTGTGAGAGTTCTTACATCCTCCTACTACCTTCCCTGACCAAATTCGGCGGCCAGAAGCTCGCCGGCGACGGAATCCCGGCGACCCGAAGGCTTGGACGGTCAAGGCTTCGATCCCACCAATCCAGCCCTCATTTGATCGTGGTTTCAACTAGGAAAACTTACGAGGACAGTCTACAAGCTCAACCGTGTCAAAGATTCGAAGATCGGACGGTAAAATCTCGCGCAATCTCTTAGAATAGCTTAAACACTTAGATTGAAATAGATCTTTAGATAGTTAATATCTTTTCAAAATAATAGTCCCCCATGGTTTCTGTTCATCCCTAAGACCTATGTTTAAAATTTCGTGAGATTTGGTTGAGGATCGAGAGAGAACGAGCCAAAAAACGAATTAGGGTTTCGGTTTGACCCCTCACGCGCGCAGGCTGAATTCAGGCCGTCGGATC